TATTCCAGAGCATAGTTACTTTTAAAAAAGTGATTAAATGTATGTTAGGAAGAAGAGACTTGTTTTGCATGTTACTTGTTAGACCATGCTTAAAAGCTTGAAGTAATAAAGCTGCTCCCTTATTGGCATTAAAACTAATTTTAGTGTAATTACTCATTAACACAGCTCGGCACTACTGAGCATTCTGCTCACATGGCTGTGTACAAATCAGTTTGTAATGGCACTCAAGGCATTCTGAGTAAGGGTGGGGGGAAAAGGAGGAAAGGAAATAACCTAGTCTTCTAAATGCGTTCCACAGCTATCAACAGTACCAAATTGCTACCAAGCTGGTATTTAATTGCAGCTTTCAGTGGGTGAGTTTTCTTGCCTATTCATTGCTTACCTTACTTGTACAATTTACAAGTCCTTTGTGCTTTTATTTTGTTCACAGTTTATTTTTTCAGACACCACTAGTTTTTTGTTGTGTTTGACCGATCTACCTATAATGCTGTCAGAAGAAATATTTCTGGATTTGAGTCTTGCACAAGGATAAAACTGGGTTTCTGTTAATCTAGGAAATCTTGGCAGCTCTCCCAGACTCTTCATCTTGAGACCTGCAGGTTCTTCAAGCAGTGTGTGCAGATCACTTAAGTAAAAGATGGATCTTTTCCATTATATAGGAAGACAAATACATAAGTATGTGAGATGTGTTTTAGATTAAGCAGATGAATTTTAAAAATTTATCAGGAATAATTTTCCTTAGAGAAATTGCAGCATTTTGTTTCAATTTAATTATTTAGAAAATATTTGTCTTTTAATTAAATTTGTATTTTAATTTAATAGAATGATTTTTAAAGATAGGCAAAATGCATCCTTTGTGTCAAGAGCATGTAATTTGAAGCTGATCACCCGACAATATTACCAAGACATGTAAGAAACCAACGTATTAATATAAAGTAGTGGAAAATACATGGCTGGCATTTCTAGTTTGAATAGTTATGCCAGCTTTAAAAAGACAACTGCTCTACTGGAGAATGGCAGTTTCATACTGTTCTTTGGAGTTTTGTTCTTTCTAAGTTCATACAGTATAAATTAATCTCCTGCAATCTTCCTAGAGTTAAAATTAACAACTGAAATGGTGGTTATATGGAATTTCTGTGTTGATGTAGCAACTGCCTGTTATACTGGATATGAAGTTTTTAACTTTCTTTTAAAAGATGGAAGTGCTTCCTATGTTAAGCAGTTTAAATAACTGTGTGAAGCAATCAGTCGAAAAGTTTATCAAAATGGTTCAGAAGATGCTACTTCAGAAAGCATTTGGCTACTGCAGCTGTAAAACACAATCTTGTTTTTATAACAGCATCCCTACAGATTATTCCTCAAACTGTTTCATGGTTTTAAATAATATTAGTAATGTAATTAGCTAATACAAGGGTAGGAAATTAAAGATCTCTGCAAGAGAAAAATATTCAATTGAAGTGTAAAGTGAAATTTGAAATAAAATGGGAGTCAGTCAAGCAGGCACTCTGGGAAAGATGCTGAAAACTGCAGGCACCAAGGAGGTTTTAGCAGAGCATCGTACCTTGTTCCACAGTGGCAACATGATGTGGAAGGAGTAAAGATAGGTGCAGTGAGTAAGTCTCCAGTCCAAGGACACTATTAACATGGGCTCAAATTTAAACGTGGGATAAGCCTGACTGATGTATCCAGGGCCATAAATGTGACACTGAATTGGCACTCTTGTCATTTAGGAGAAGAGAGATGATAGTAGGTGGGAGGATCTCCTGACCCCGCTGCAGGGCTCCTCACTTGTCAGTGTTGAACTTTAGAGGTTCCCACCAGCCCCCTTTCTCCAGCCTGTCAGGTCCCTCTCTCTACCAGCGCATCTGCTGCTCCTCCCATTCCAATATAACCTGCAAACCCTCTACGGATGCTCTCTGTCCTGTCATCCAGGTCACTGGTGAAGATACAAAACCCTCTCTGTCCCAGTGTCAAGCCCTGGGTAACGCCACTCATTACCTGGGCTACAGGTTAGTCTTCACCCCACTGACCATGATGCTGGGAGCCTGCTGGGCCAGCCAGCTCCCCACACCACCCATGTGTGCAATCCAGACCTGGAATTCCTGGTTCCACCTCTGCATGACTGGATGGTGTTTCTCTATTTCTTTTGTTTACACATTTTAGTCTCTGGTCTTGCTTCCTTTACACTTTCTGCACTTAAGCCAGGCCAGGAATTCCCCGTTGGGCCAAGCTGCCTTCTTGCCATGCCCATTTGTTTTCTTGCATGTAGGAAAATGGATTGTTCTAGGGTTGTGAGCAGTTTGTCCCTGAAGATCAGCAAGCTGTCCTGCTCCCAACTCCCCGTAAGGGCAGCTGTCTGTGGGATTGCATGTGTCCTGTGACCATGCTCAAGTTTCTTCTGTAGTTCAGTGTCTTGATTATGCCAAATGTCTTCCTCAGTTTCCTCAGAATCTTAAATTCTGCCATATGAGGGTCATTTCAGCTAAGAATGTACAACTATCAAGCCTCTGAACAAAATTTCCTTATTTATGAATAGCAAATGTAGGGAGAGCATCTCTCCTGCTAGGTCAAATTGTCCACAACACACTTGGGTGTTCACTGCTTTGAGAAATGGTGGTGTTGTAGGTTGGACTAAGGTTATAGCGGTATCTGTAAGTGCTGATAACTTTAGCTGGAACCTTTTGTGCTCCAAGATGCTGCTGTTCCTCCTTGGCATATTGTACTGTACCATCGAGCAAGAGGTGAAGCTGTGTAATGAAATATGCTGTACTGAGTAGTCTGCAATCACTGAGTTATCCTTGGGGGCATAGGGGCCCTGTCTGAGTCCGGAAGAAGAGCTAAAACATGGTACATTTTTGTAAGAAATCTAATTATGGGAACATAAAAATAGTTTAGATTTTGCAATGAATGTGAAATTAATGGTCTAGTCTATTGATCGGGAGGGGGGTGCTGAAGAACACTTAATTGTGATCTGTAGCTGTTACAGTGTAGGAAGGATAATTAAGAAGATATTTCTGAGTACATGGCTTTCTGTGATCTGTGTCTTCAATACCAAAATATGTATGTTCCAGGCTCTCAGAGTCTTGCAGAGTCCTGTAAAGATATAGGTATTGAACTAAAAGGTTTTGATTTAGCGTGAAAGCAAGAAGAAACATGTAATTGAAATGGGGATTGTATTTACACCAGTACTTGTTGGGGGTGTGAAGCTTTCCCAGTGGACAAGATGGGCAGTATCTGAGAGAGGAGATAAAACATGAATGAGAGCTTCAAGAAAGGTGGAAGCTGCGATGGGGTGGTAACAGGCACAGCGGCACGTGGGGAGGGAGGGAAGCCAATGCCAGTGTCGTTGTGGTGGTCGTTGGTCCCAAGAAGTACACCCTTGTCTTTGTGGTGTTGTGTACAGTGTTTCGTGTGAAACCATGAAGTGTCTCTTAGTTCTAGCCACGTAATTTTATTATTGTGCAGTTCTGATAAAAGCAAATGGTTTGGTCTCCCACCCTTGTCAATAGTTGCCTAAGAAATAGAAGTGACAAAATGAGAGTTCTGCCAATTTGAGACCTGTGTGTGAGATGATGCTTTGGTTGAAAAGGTTTTTTTAGAATTTAGAATCAGGTCGTTGTTGATGATAGACGTACCAGTGCATCTGAGATGTTCTCAGTGTGTCTGCCTGAAGGTTTGGTTGGTCAGATAAGATTTTCTGGTTTAGGCTTTTTGTGTGCAGTTTTCTCCTTGTCTATTGAGATTCAAATCCACATATTCTGGTTGGGTGGAGATGCTGCAGCTCTCAACAGAAGCTGTACTAGTCCTGAACTTCTTTCTGGGGAAAATCTGAGCCTTTTTAGTTAGTTTCCATAATTAACAAGTGAATAAATGGGTTTTGCAGCATGGATTCCCATGTGGAAAATGTCATCGGGTGACTTAAGCCTGGTAAATAGTTAAGAATCCAGAAAAATTCAGAGTATCCTGAGCTTTAGGGTTTTGTTACTAATTGTGCTTCCTGGAATTCTCTGTGGTAATTGGGGTCCAGCTGCTCAGAATATTACTGTTAGATTTACTGGATGGATTGCTTTAATAGGATTTGAAGAACAGCTATTTGTACGTTACAGCTTGTGCTGTTAACTTGCCAACCTTTTAATACAATAATCCCAGAGATTTATCCTAGCTTTAAAGTAGTAATACAGGAAGACGTACATGACTTACCACAAAAAATTTTGTAAAGTCTTCGTATAATATGAAGCAAGAGTTGGTTATGCTTGTTGGTATCTATGTGCAATGATGTAATATATGTTATGAGAGGGAGGAAAAGCATCGATGGAAAGAAAACAGTGACCTTAGTGAAAGTTAGGAAGAAGTCTATATTTCCACTGCCATACCAAGTGTGTCACCACATCTTACCATTGGCAGTAGTAGAAACCAACCAGTTCAGAAAGCAGTTACCATGTGAATTGACTTCAGTGTTTAATTGCACTACATGGATGAGTTTGCACTTCTTAAATGAATTTTATGTATTCATCTATCTTTTTATTTTTTTATGATTGAGAATAGTAGAAGTTAATTCTGCATGTTAATGAAATAAAGTAGAAATTTTGGTCTGGATGTATTCTTGATTAAGTTATACAAATCGGTTTTTTTATTGGTAAATGTTTGGTACATCTGGTTCACAAAGAAATGAAAATATTGTTTACTGCTGGTATGTCCTCTTAGGAGGTCATATTTTATCCTCAGTTTTCACCCTTCCCTTTCCCTTGCCACTTCCATTACAATGGAGATTTGGTCTGCTTGCACGACAGTGATGTGTCCCTTAATATTTCCCATTAGTTTTCAGTAGTACCTTTGCCTGCATGTCAGCCTTCAGTTTAATGGCCTTTTTTGTGTGTGTTCATTTTCTTTTGTTTCCCATCGTGGTTTTGTTTATTTCTTTTGTGTTTTTTTTCTGTTTTCTTTTTTTAAACCGTGGTGATGTTTGCCCTTCATATTCCCCAATGTTTGCACATGACAAGATGTTGCCATCCCAACATTACCTCCCACTTCACTGACCAGTGCCACTAATGACCATCTAGCACCAGCTACAACAGGACCATTGCCTTCAGCCCCGCGGGATGTCGTGGCCACCCTTGTCTCCACTCGCTTCATCAGACTGACATGGCGGACACCTGTATCAGACCCTCAAGGAGACAACCTCACCTATTCAATCTTCTATACCAAGGAGGGTATAAACAGGTAAAGATCTCAACGTGTAAAATGGGGTGTGCTCTTTCATGACTCTTCCACCTGCTAGCTTTGCTTAGAAAATCTTTAATGCTCCAAATCTTACAGGCTGCGGAGTCTGAGGGGGTGTGTTCCCTTCCCTCCTGCACCCTGATTAGAGAAAGTGCATTTTTATTTGCTTCATTGCTGCATATGTATTCTTCTGGGTAGTGCTTGTGCATGTTTTTGATTGACTGCAAACAGTTGCTACCTGCTTTTAGCAGACTGCTTAGAAGCTGAGAGCAAGCATAGACTGTAACACCTCTTCAGGAACACTGACACTGCTATAAATACCATCCACAGCAGGCACAGAAACATCCTCCAGTGTGCTATTGGGAGTGAGCAGTCTCTTCATGCTTTAAAATGCTGTAAATATAGTCTGATTATAGAGAGAACTGTGTGGTAGGTGTTGGTTAAATGTTCATTCTCTCTTAGTAATCCCTGTAAGTAGAAAATTCATCAGTGTGAGGCATTTGTGAGTTGGACCTGTTCCTCCAATTATTTAGTTCAATCTACCTGGTTTTCTTCCTGATGGGGTCTGCTGCTCAGAATTACAGTGTCAAATTGTGATAAGTTTGAAGAAGTTGAAGCTCACAGTCATTTTGAGCAATGGTGAATTAATTGCAAATTAACTTGATTAAGAGATTTATTACTTAAGAGAAAATCATCTATCTACTTACTGACTGGAGCATGAGACTCAAAGTTAAGAAGGTAATTTGAAGAGAATATAAAATGCACTACCACTTACAGTGAATTGCCACTCTTTCTTAATTCTGTGGATTAGACATCTTGTCCAGTCTCATGATGATTGAGGCAATTAGTAAAATTTTGTTTGCCTCACAAATGTTTTTTTTTCTACTACTTCCTTACTCTCCTTACTATACTGGAGATATTTTAAGTGAGGCAGGATTAAAGGTGGGATCTTGCCAGCCATTCTTGCTTCATGCCTCTCCACCTTCACATTCCTGGTTTAACTGCTCTACCTGCTGGGTTTTTAGAAAGTAATTTGCTGGAGATGGCTTCCTGCTTCTCCCTGTAATGTTTTTGAGAGAACAAAATGCATCTCCTTCCACTACATACAAGACTATAGAAATATAGAAAATATTCCTCTTGGGCCAAAAGCGTGTGTAGAACAAAGAGTAAAAGGAATCTAATAATTTGCAGTGAATAAATTAGGGAATCACAGGACAATCTGCAGAAAACTGCTGTTTCCAGTTCTTGCACAGCAACCCTCCAGGCTTGAGTTAATGTAGTCCATAGAAAGTTTACACAGCAAAGTACTTAAGCTGGTGATTATATGCAAGCAGGTGGTTTCACTGACTTCAATGAGATCTTTGTTTGCTTAAGTGTCATTCCTGGATCAGGGTTAAAAGTAGCCTCTGAAAGTTTTTTATTAGCACATACAGTTTTCTCAACTTTACTGCTCCTTTGCTTTTTGGAAGTGTTTTTTTCCTTAGGCCTCCTAAAGAGAGTTGGTATCACACAAAAAAAAAAAAAAAAAAAAAAAAACAACCAAAAAAACTGTTTACCATTTTGATGTTACATGGTACTTTTTGACCAGTTGGTGAGCCTTGTGGAAACGTTGGTTGCTTGTTGAATAAAAAAATAGATATTTGTGACACACACCTAAGCAGTTGGAAGTCAGAAAACTTTGAAGTCAAGTTTAGATGTGCAACACTCCTTTCTTCCTCAGTGTTATAAAACACTGCTTAAATGATAGCTTTGTAGTCCTTGAATTATACATGATCCTGTATCTTTGCTGCAGTTCTAAGTGCATATGTACCATCTCCTCATACTATTATATTTTTGCCTACATGTACCATTTTCATTGCATGCATTTACTGGATCCTTTTAGTAACCTAAGTGTTGTCTCTTCCTTGCTTGTATTTGAGCAGTGATCAAACTAGTATTTGATTTATTTACCTTTTAAATCAGGCTTGTGAAAAATGAAAAAAAAATATATGTAACATGGAATAGGTTAGCTAGATATTCTGAAATCTCTAAGCCATCTTTAAAGGGCTGTAGAGAGTCATTTTCATATTGTGAGTTGTAGGAGCACTTAAATCTCTTTGCAGTACACGAGGTGTGTGGTTCCTGAGGTATCAGCTGCCTCAACCACTGCTGATTTATGGTGCTTTTATTTTTATCTGTTCAGTGAAAGGCGATACACACAGAATCATGGTGAGGTGTTCCTTAGCTTTGCCCTTTGAACTTATTTAGAGGACTGCAAGATGCCTGGAACATGGTTTCACCCCAAAATCATGGGGTGCTCCTAGGAAAGTCTTTTCTTGTGCTCCATGTCGGCTTTATGCCACCAACTGCTTCAGCTGCCAAGAGGTGCCTTCTGCCCCTGCCCCCAGAGAAATTATGTATTTCATGTTTTAAACTCAATGTCTGCTTGCAGAAAAATGTTGGCCCCGAAGTTGAATGTTACAGAAAATTTGTAAGCAGCAGCAAACAAGAAATTACAGCAAAAATGCAACTGCTGCCAAAGTTGTAGTGGTTGCTTTTATCACTTGTGAATGATTAAAGCTGGGTTTGTGAGTACGTAGTGTCTGCTGAGGGGGAGTAAGTGAGAGAGAAGAAAGATCTGTAAGGCTTGGAGGTCACTCTTAACAGAGAAACTGAAACCATCCATGGAAGAGAAGCATTTTAAAGCATGGAAGTCAGCTGTGAAGGCAGCTTGTTTCGCTGGCTGCAGAATGTCACCAGCTGGTGGCATGTCTTTGCGTTGGCTTGATGATGTCGGAGAGGCTTTTATCGAGGCAGTTATATATGAATGAAGTGGGTGTCTTGTGGCTTTATTGTCACACCTCTAGAAGAACTGAAGTAATCTGATCAGATAGAAATTACTGTCTTCCTTATAGATTGTATAGTTCCATAGTTATTTCATCCTTGCACTAGGTATTCAGAATTGAAGACAGTTCCCCTGAAAAGGGTATGAAAATCCAAATGTGTTGGCGGGGCAAAGGGAGGTTTGAGTCTACGAAACTTCAGATGAGCGCTCAGGCAGAAGAACTCCAAACTTTCAAGACTTGGACAAAAATAAAAGAAATAGCTAGTATGTTGCTGGTACAAGATGGTAAATTACATGTGTGAGATATTCAAATTATATTAAACCCATGGTTCAATATAGTGTGCTTCACACACAGAAAATGGAGTTTAATTGTGTGTAATCACACTGTCAAAATGTCTCTCTGAGCTCACTGCCAGGCTCTACAGCTGACATGGCTGGCACAGACTATACTCTCTTTTTCATTCCATGAAGGCTGTTTTTTAAATATAAACTCTAAACTTCACATTTCCAGATTAACACTTGTCTCTGGTTTTGAACTGTAGGCTTTTTCCCTTAGGTACTTGATAGCTATTTTAAACCTTAACTCTAGTTTACAAAGCTCTTTAATTGGGGATTAAACTGGAATGAGTTAGACTAGTCATAATGTTCTGTAGGGTAATATAGTTATTCATATAGACCATCTGTTTTGTAACCTATTATGCCTACCTAAACACATCAGAGCTCGTAAAAGGTGCTCAAGGCTCCCTAAGAAAGGACATAAATGAGAGATTCATGTAGCACTTAATTAGATTAATCTCAACATATTTTTAAGAAACTATTGTGAGGGAAGGCATAGTTCCTAGTCATTACTGAAAATTGCAGTACTTTGACGTGTCTATTTATTTTGTGATAACTGTTGTTGTTCCATTAAAATAATTTTTACTTTTTTGTAATTTTAAATAATAACCTTAGCTTGCTAATTTTTTATTTCTAGGTAAAATCAATGTGTGAATTTACACTTGAGGCAGAAAATACAATATATTTTCCATGTTGATGGGAGACAACTGTTATTCTACAGCTATGAATCAGTTGGCACTTATTCTGGGTTTTCAAATACCATCACTGTATCTAAGACACATCTTAAAAGAAACTATCCATTTGAAAATGCTTTTTCAAGCAAATATTTTGCACTAGCTTTAACTGGAAAAGTTAGTGAGGGAAAATACTTATCTTTTTTTGTGTCCCCCCAGTTTCATTCTGTGGTGAGTCTGATGTTTCTTCAGTGTGTGTCTCACTTTATTGTCAGCTTCTTTCATGCAAAAAATACCTTATAAACATTAAAAGAAGAAAAATCTTTTGTAAATATTTTAAATTCAGATATGCTGTAATACACTGCTCAGTCAATAATCAATGAAACAATGGAAATTAATAAAAATTTGAAACAAATTAAGATGTTCATGCAATGCCATTTTAGCTAAACTTTCATGAAGGAGAATATTCTGGAAAATGTGTCTAAATAGATCTTTAGTTACAGTAAGTGTATTGTTTCCCTCTGTAAGTACAGTGTAATAGTGCAGAAATCAACTGGGATTTCAATATGTTTTCAACCAAGTTACGTTAAGTCAACTGTACCAGTTGATTTTAAAATAAATAAATTAAAAATGAGGATTTTGGCATCATATTTCCATGATATAAGCTAAAGCATAATGGCTGGAAGGTAGGAAAGGAGAGACTGAAATAATTTTGCCTGGGCTTCTGCATTAAAAATGATTTAATAGCAGCTTATCATCAGGATGAGAATTGTCTGCCCTCTACTGTAGAGCTAAACAAAGTCTAGCAGACAAAAGGGAAAGAATTGTATTCAGAGCAGTCACATTTTACCTTTATTTTCTCAGTGGGGAAGGTTTTTATTTCTTCTTTTGTAATAGCTTTTATTTGTATTTACAGGGACTAGGTAGCTTCTTTTCAAAGGACAGTATGTAGATGTTGTTACCCAAACGTAGCTCTGTGAAAGTTCACATGGCAACAGCAGTGTGTTGGAAATAAAGGCTGTAGTTAGTTGATGATTAATCTTTTAATCTTCCCCTCAATCCTGAGCTTGATAAGAACCGATCAAGTTTCCCGAACTATGTTCAGCTGAAGACTGTGCTTCCACCAGGGTGAGGCAGCAGGTTTCCCCATGAGGGGGGGGTGCAGTGGGGGTTCACTAAACACAGGACAATAACCCTTCTGGCTGCCTCACCACACAAGTGTATTCTCCCAACTGGGTTATGGCTTTCAGCGTGCAAAACATCAGCCTTTGTCCTGAGCCTCACAGAACTGCTCCTTCCCACCCAGCGCACTCTTCCTTCAGGCGCTGGCAGATAAACTGGGGGGGTCCAGCAGCCCAGAGCTGCCTCCTCAGCGTTGCTGGAGGTGAGCATCTTCACCACGGTCAGACAGAAGGCCCTCTCACCTGCCTGGAGCACAGTACGAGCGGAGATGGCTGCTGAGGGATGAGTGTAAACCGCTGCTGAGGGATGGCTTCTCCTGGCATGTCAGCCTGAATGAGAGCAGCGGAGACACAGGCAGACACTGCCTTTTGTTGACTCCACTACTTGTGTGGTAATGGCATAAATGCCACAGCTGGGTGTATGCGAGTCAGAGCCTGTGTATGTTTTTAAAAAAATCTAAATATTAGGGAGGAACTAAGTAAAGTTTGGAGGTAGAAGAATACATTAAAACAGCTGCTTTGAAAAATACACAAAAAGCAGCTCCACAATATTAACAATAATGTCTTAAATCTCGCCAGACTCTACATATGCTGCTTAAATATTTTTTCTTATGGCTTCAGAGTAGTGGGATAAACTGTCACTATGAATTATTGAATGCTGTTACAAGAATAACAAAGAAACTACTTAGAATTTTGTGATGTCAAGTATAATTTATTCTTTTACTTCAGTGCATATTTTTTTCAAAGATGTTATAAAATTAGAAGCTGTTAGTCACCGGCAATTTTGGCATGTAATTGTTTTATTGTGTAGTCAATGCAGTATAAATAACCACCTCATTAACACATTAGATACATTCAAACAGGATACATCTCCGTAGCAACTACTCCTTTATTTACCCCTCAAAACCCCTCTTACTAATCAGGGATTGTTTCTGTGCCCAAACCTTTTTGTTTCCTAAAGGGAACGCGTTGAAAATACAAGTCGTCCTGGAGAGACACAAGTGATGATCCAGAACCTGATGCCAGAAACGGTTTATGTCTTTCGGGTTGTGGCTCAGAACAAGCATGGCCCTGGAGAGAGCTCAGTACCACTGAAGGTGGCAACTCAGCCTGAGGGTAAGCTGTGGATGTTTTGAGTCTTCCTGTCTTTGGGATCGATTTTGTTTGTTTGTTTTTGTTTTCCCTATCCATGACCTTTCCCAGAATATGTTGATACTCTTAAAAGTTGCACTTGCAGACCATAGTTTCAAAATTTTTTTCCAAGTTGGTGTGCTTTATAATATTTTTTTCACAGTTCAGAAGAACTGATAATACATTCCTCATTAAAATCTCAAAACCTTCTGTTCTATGAGGAATACTTTTAAATTGTCATTAACTGAAAGAAACAAAAAAAGGAAAACTTCAAGGAAATGCAAAGTCTGTCATTTGTTAGGATCATTCAGGACAAAAGGAATCTGACCCAGGGAGCAGGATATCTTTCAGAAATTTAGTCCCACCTTTACACCCCCCAGTGAATCCATGTGAAATGCTGAAATGTGAGAAAATACTCATCTTTTACCTGGAGTTAATTGATAGTGAAGTTGACGCTAAAGTAATTAGCTACTGAGAATGTTAATGGTTAGGCTTGGTGACTAGCAAAGTTTCATGTTTTTACATTTCAGTTCAACTTCCTGGTCCAGCACCCAATATCCGAGCATACGCCAGTTCACCCACCTCCGTTACTGTCACCTGGGAAACGCCGTTGTCTGGCAATGGAGAAATCCAGAATTACAAGCTCTATTACATGGAGAAGGGGCAGGACACTGAACAGGTACAGAGCCTGGCTCTTCCTGTGTGATATGCAATGCCATTAACAGGCTTTCTTCTTTTATTATCTTAAATTTCTAGAAACACCTTGTGTTCGTTTTTCTGATAGACTGCATCCTTTAGCCTAACAGAAATATTATAAATAAAAATTCTGTCATGAAATATATGTCTTGGAATTACACGGATTTTTTTGTGATGACTTATTTAGATATTCATCAGCATCAAGTAGCTTTTGGGGAAGTCTGTATCACAAGAGAACACAAATAATAGCTCATTTAACAGTTCATCATTTAACAGTTCTGGTTCAGACAGTGTAAAGGATGTTTGCATAGCTTTTATAGGCTGCCTGTCTTTAGTAAAGTAAGCTAACTACTAATTTTAGTGTGATCCTTAATTTGGTTTTACTTCTGGAGTTCTTTGATCCAGTGATTGATATTTTTTGATACTGCTGAGTGTCTAATTGATTGTATTTTCTACTGGAAGAATCCAGTATGTTCTGGATTAATCCCAGTCATTTAATTTCCCATCTGATTGCATGGGGGTATGATTCCAAATTTTAAAAGCTAAGGGAAGAATATTTTTGTTAGCTTTTAAAATATTTTTTTACATCTGTTTTGAAATAGGAATATTGTATTCCTCAGATAATTTTATGTTATAGTTAAAATCAGATCAGTAGAATTTTCTCTTGCAAGCTTTTAGCATCTTTACAAATCCTGGCTGTACACAAACTGTGACTTGATCTGGAGGTGTTACAGAAAGGTGTTTTCCTGCTTTTGACTTTGAGTATTACTGTACTGAAATTCTTGTTAGTTATAGTAGTTGCACACCTGATACTGAACTTGACTTGTATGTATGTTTCTTTATGAACAGGATGTTGATGTAGGAGGACTCTCCTACACCATTAATGGATTAAAGAAATACACAGAGTATAGTTTCCGAGTGGTAGCTTACAATAAACACGGTCCTGGAGTCTCAACCCAAGATGTTGTCGTACAAACGTTGTCAGATGGTAAGCTGCTTTATTCCTCTCTTTTTTTTTTTTTCCTTCCCCCAGGAATTATCTGGTAATTTCCTTTAAGTGAATTTTTAACCAGACTTCTATGGTTTTTGTTCATTGTTGCCCTGTTTTATTAATAATGTCATTGTTGCGAATGGCCATACATGGTGAAAGTTCCCCTGGAGGCTTTCCAAATTGGATGAATGAAAATTACTATACCTGCAGAAGTATCTGGTATTCTGATTACGAAACAACAGTGTCCTTCATTTCAACATCAGTAGTTTATTTCATGGGTTATTGAGTTTACAAAGTATTAAAAGCAAACAGGAAAACAACTATGTCGAATGCAGCAACTCCAAATTAGTTTTTAGGTTCTGTAATATTTTTACATATGAGCAAGACTTTTTGCTTTTGGAGTGGTTTTATTTTAATTGTGGTCATATGGGAGAATGTTGCATGCCTTTCTTTGGACTCCCGCACAGACACTATTAAATCACTTGCATATAATAATGAAAGCAGGAAGTGGTGACAGTATTTTCTGTAAGTCAAACAAAAAGGTAATGTAAGCAAATTGTAGAATGATTAATGTTAACTCTTTTTTTAGTAGAGAAATTTGCTTATATGTTAGTTAGACCAAAAGTGAGCCTAGTCTGGAATCCTCTTTCCAGAAGTGACCAAAAGTAGAATAGATGAGCAGAGAGAAGTGCTGGCCCAAATTCTCTGTGTCCAAAAGTTTGTTTCTGGGGGACTTCTGGGGGATTCTGCAGTGGTTTCTGTGTATTTACTAATTCAGTTTCTCTTCCATCAAACCCTGTTGGCATCCTCTTTGACCCACATCAGGCCTTTTATCATCTACATTGAGTGGACAATGATTCTACAAATAAATTTTCTGTGAAAAATCACCCCTTTTTGTCTATTTTGAACCTGCCATACATCATACGTCATCATCATACCTCATACCTGACATACGTCATTTGTTGCCTGTAGCCATACTGCCTGAAAGAGTGGATAATCAGTGTCTACCAGTGATGTCTGTCCCAGTCCTCATTTTGCAGACCTTTGCTGTATTCTTACTCATCTCTTTTCCAGATTCCAGAGTCACAGAAATAGTTAGCCTTTTCTTTTGTGGAAGCTGTTTCAACCATCAGTTCGCTTTTCTGAATTCTTTCCTAGGTTTCTTTTCTCCTATATACTTTCAAAAATGGAGATAGAGGAGACTAAAATTGTATCAAGGTACAAATATGTAATTACTAGCATTTGACTGATGTTTTTGGCTCATTCTGAGCACTGAAGAGACATTTTTGGGGTAAATGGATCTGGGTGGAATCGATCTGCTTAGAGCTATCATTTTGCTTGTAGAGGTAGGATCATTTTTCCCATGTGTGTAACTTTATCTGTCGTGAATTTCATCTGCTACTTTAATATCAGGTGCAAAATGTCCTGAGGCCTTTCTGCAGTTCTTTACCATCAGATTTTGTCCCTACTAACATTTGTCACCTTGCTGCTCATCCCTCTCTCATCACTTGTGAATGTGTTGAGCAACAGGGGGCTTGGTACTCCACAGGTCATCTCCCACCATGTATGTTCCTACCTTCCCTTCCCTTTCTTTTAACCAGTTGTTCGCTCAGACAAGAACTTTTATGCACTTGTTGCTTTGTTTCTTAAGAGCTCTCTGGCAGGTTTGCAATGCAGGATTTCCCTTTAAAAAGTGATAAATACATACTATTACTCCATGCATCTATTAATTTCATGCTTTATTGTAGCTTCAGTTTATTTGCCTAATACAGGTTTCTGAATTACTACTTGAAGTTACTCAAGTGGAACCCCTTTGAAATACTGGCATCAAATTTGCCATCTCAAGCGTCAAGGTAGCTTGTGAAAGGTTACATACAAGTCATGCAGCCACTTCATTCTCAAATTCCTTGAGAAATCCTGGATGAATAGCATCTAACCCTGCCAACATGCTGCTGTTCATTATGTCTGACTCTTCCATAATCCCTTATATTCATGTTTCTGTTTGAGAGATCCTGTAAGTCCCTTGTAAAGGGTCTCATGGAAGCCTCTCCCTTTCACACAGTACAAATGCAAAGGAGATAGTTGTGTGGCCGTATCTTTTTCTGTCATACCCTGACCATTTGCTAACTCTACAGTTTCTCTAAAGGGCTTCCAGTTCCTTATTTGTTTGAAGAATAACTTACTAGTAGTTGTAATGTCATTTTCAAGTTTTCCTGAAGTTTTCTGGCCCAACTTACATTTTCACAACCTACAGAAATGTATTTTCTAAAACTTTTCTGAAGGATGTCATCTTGCTTCTTACAGTCTTATAACCCTGCTGCTTAACCATGCTGTTCTCCCCCTTCTCAAATCCTTTCAGATGAATGATTCACATTTCCTTCTTGTATTTTCTTATTGTAGTGTCTGTAAGCAATCTTCATATTTCTTGCAGGGATTTCTTTCTAAGCTTCCTTTAGCTTCAGTTTAACAAGCTTCTGCATTTTTATGTAGGTTTCTGCTCCTAATCTGTTACAGTGGTTTGTTGCAGGATATCTTGTCAGGTATTACAATTTGAACCAAGATTTAAGTGCTGCTCATGAGGATTGCTCCTCTCTCATGGTCTTCCTGATCTACAGGAAGCGATCATGTATCACAGCTAGAAATGTAATCTCTGCATCACACCCCGATCGAGGGCATTTCCCTTCCCAGCTGGTCCTTGCAGGCTCTGAACCAGCAGCATGTCGTGCTCCGGCTGCCTGGGCAGTTACTGCACGACTTACTGGACTAGGCTGTGCCTTTCCTGTCGAAGCGTGGAGTATCAGTCCATAGGAAATCCATTTTATTTGTTGGCCTGGTTAAATTCTTAATCTGGTCTGAATCTAAGCTTACTTTGACATAAAATGAACGGTGCACATGGCGAGATATGTGTATATGAGTATATTTACATGGATGTATCCTTTCCTGTGTCCTTTTTAAAGCACATAGCACTTAATCCCTAATTCTAGTGATTTCAGACTCAGTTCAGTTGGCAAGAGAGAAGAAAAAACAAATCCTTGTCGTCTTCATTTCTGTTGTGGGATAGTGGAAGAGGGGTATTTTTTTAACCACTCCCTAGTGTACCTTTCACTTACCACAGGGCTACTTTCACTTTATGCACTCAGGCGGGTTTTCTTAGGTATTGTGGTGGCTGGTGTGAGTTACTTGAAAAATACATTATTCAGGCCGGAACAATCTTTACTGCTGTTGTGCTCTTTCCCTGTCCTTGTGCTTTGCTGGAGCCTCACCTTCCTGTCAGGGACCCTTATCTCTGCCTTTGAGATAATGTTTGTAAGTCTGAAGTGCCGCAGTGAGGATTTTCCTGGGTCTCAGGTTCTCTCTTACATTGTCTTTTTGCCTAATGGAGCTTCACGGTCATGACCAGCAAGTTGCTACAGCTAGTAAAGAGCTAACAACAAGTGGAAGTTTAAAAGCAAAAACTGTCTTTGCTCTTCAGAGACGTGTTGTCTGTTGAGGCTTTCCTGTTACAGAAAATCACGGTAACGGAAACCATGGCTAGAATTTTAAATGTGGGTTCCTAGAATCAAGCATGTAAATTAAAGAATTTATTTTGAAAAGTATAGAATGTGATCTTTTTCCTTAGAATTTATGGGAACTACCTTTAAATATAAAACATTTTTGGTTAGATACCTGTGATGAGTAAAGACCTGAATAAAAAGCAAGTATGTTCTTTGTGATGGAAGTACATAAACTTCCTAAGCCTGTTACTGTATGTCATAAGGTACCTCTGGTAGAATTTTGTAGTTACTTTATAACATGTGTTAAACCAGAATGGTTTGTGCTTTCATAATGAACGATAGCAGAGAGTAGTCGTGTATGGAAATACAGTTTTTTATACAGTATATGGACATTTTGGAGTTGTAATGCCTTTAATGTTTCTAGTCCCCAGTGCTCCACCACAAAATCTAACACTGGAGGTACGGAATTCCAAGGTAAGATGTTGAGAATTTCCTGTTCATAATGGGTAAATAAAAGGTTGGTGGGTGTTAGATCGATCAAATTTTAGAGCTGCTTTGGGTCTTTTTTTTCTACTGGGCTGCTTTTCAGCTATTTGTGTATGAGTTGTCCAACTGGGGCTCAAAGCATTAGAAACTCCAATCCAGTTGTGTTACATAATGGAATGCAGTGAAGGCAGTAACAATGCACCAAAGCATGGAGGCTAATTATAAAAGAGGCTTAATCAGGCACAGAAGCCTGAAGCACCGAAGCTTGAATGTATTCCTGTTGAATAACTGCTATTTACAGTGTGCGCACACATACACACATTTATAGTGTCCTGGGCACTTCACAAGAGAAAATTACATACTTAGTCATTATGACTTTAGTGGTTATGATTGGATATTTTTTTAAAGCCTTTTTTAAAAACTCTTTTCCAAATACCACCTTCTACTGCCTGCATGTTTAAAAATAAGTAACTTCATGCACTTAAGCAATAGTTCAGATAGCATGTACCTTTTAAAGGAAATACTGGTTCTTAAAGCTGGATCCTCAGGTAAACCATATCCCAAGATAACCTGAAGAAAATGAAAGGGAAACCTAAGAAGCCATGTGTGAAATTGGATTCAGAAGGTCTAACAGGATCAAAGTGCTTTGAGGTGACCTGGGCTGCTGCTGAATCATAGGTTCTTTACTTTTAAATATAGCCTATGGTGTACTATATGAAAATGCAGTGTTTTCTGTATGCATGTTTTTGTCTTCTTTCATGAAGTACGAGCACTAGATTATTTTCTCTGTCTGTGTGGGAGGCGATGACTTTGTAATGACCTGCCTTCCACAGAGCATCATGCTACACTGGCAGCCACCTCCTGCAGGGACGCACAGTGGACAAATCACTGGCTACAAAATTCGCTACCGTAAAATGTCCCGCAAGAGTGATGTAACAGAAAGCATTGGTGGGACCCAGCTTTTTCAACTAATTGAAGGTGAGCTATTATTTGCAAGCTTTCTTACCAGAAGGGGGTTTTTAGATGCTTTTAGGAGGCTGAGGATGAGACACATGTTTATGTAGCATTCTTGCCTTGGGGGGGAACAAAACACTTAAAATGAGTGTTTGTAGATTTTGAGGTAGTGTGGGCTGGCTATTCGTAACCAAAGTCTAGTGACCTGTTTTCTAGCCCTACATTTTCCATTGATTTTCTAAGTGGTCTGGATGAGTCCTTTTTAAACCTTTATAAAAGGCATAGGGGTTGAATGGAGAATATGGTCCTGAGCTCAAAGTGTCTGCCTGAATGCCAGAAATAAGCATATGGAGAAGGAGGAGGATGCCAAAGAAATGCAGTCTGGCTGGGTGTTTGGCAGACTCAGCTGTTTGCATGTGGATATAATGTAGGTGTGCTCTGGCTTGCAACACTTGCCAGCAAGCCCAGCTCAAGAGTCCTATGAACTTCTTACCTCAGGCATCTGTGCAGATCATCCCACCTAATTTCACTGACATCAGCCTTTTTCCTCTTTCTGGCATGAATGTAATATATCCATTTCTTATTTTGTACTTAATCCAGTCTTACATGACTTAGTATAAATTATATATTGTTACCAGAACTAGAATTTTGTTTAGCAGAACAGTACATTAGAACAGGACAAGACTACATTTTGTTCATTTCTTAAATCTCTGTAAATGAACAGTTGCTCTAAAGGGAAGAAATTGTGCCTCTCTAAAAAATGAATATGGACTTTTTAACAAGATGTTTTGATTTGTTCTCAGAAACTCCAGCTATGACTCAAAGTGAGAAACCGTGAGAAAACTGGAACTTTCACGGAGTAGGAGTTGATAAGTGCCTGTCACTAGAGTATATTTTTGCCACCAACAAAGCCTGTTTAAGAAGTTCCATATATCAAACTTTGAGTGCATTTTCATACTGCTTTGATTATACACTCTTATATACAGTAGACAAACTGTTTGCCCAGTTCAGTCGCTTTCTGTCTGTACTCTGCACCTAGGTTTAGTTATGTATGTGGGTGGTTCTGTATGTAAAACTAATTAATAGCCAGAAATTAAAGCTGGCTGCAAAGAGTACCTCACAGGCTCTTCCAGTGTCCACAGGGACAGTCTGTAGTGTGCGTCAGCCCTGGGTGACTGGTCACAGTTTGGCTGTTACATCCTAATTGGTGTCAGCTTCCTTACCAGACCTGTGCTGTGAGTAGTGCTGTTTCCATTCCTGACCTCACATTGTGCTCAGGTGGCAGTGGAGGGGTGAAGGGCTTTTTACTGTCAGGTTATACCTGTATTTTAATTAGCAACTGTGATTCCTGTGCTCACAGCTGGAATTCCTCTATTGGTATCTTGGATACTCTTTGTCTCTTAGGTCTTGAGCGAGGTACAGAATACAGCTTCCGAGTAGCGGCCTTGACTGTTAATGGTACTGGACCAGCTACTGACTGGATATCAGCAGAAACGTTTGAGAGTGATCTAGATGGTAAGATAATAAGTGTGAACATCAGAAACGTTATAATTTGTGGAGAGGGCACAGTAAAGTTTGATTGCCTTTTTTTAAAGGCAAACTTGATTTTGTTCAATTGTTTTTACTGTATTCTAATTATACAATGCACTGTATTATTAAGTGAAATTAATTTCTGTTTTAACACAAAATTCTTGCCAAGTCAATTAAATGGCTTGAAATTAAGCCCTACTTCTACATTTTCTAGCACTGTGTGTTGGCACTATTTTTTTGCTACTAAGAAATACCTAATTATGAATTAAAGTGTCAATGTTTCAATATTTTAATAATAATATGTTATAGGATTTATGTAACAATGGCTCAATTTTTATATTGTAATAAAATTCATCTTGTTAATTATGCAGGGGTTTATATGCTATGAAACAGAGGTAGGAGGACTGTTTTCCTTGAGGGAAGTAAAATAGTGATTATGCATTTATGTAGTGCCTAAGTTATGCTAATGAAACCGTTGAAGTGTACCTCGAAGCATTCAGAGCGGTGATTTGATGTTCACAGATACGTGTGCTGAGCGACTAGGTGTAGTCCTCTTGGCTGCACTCTCTAATACTTACTAGTGCCTGTGCTGCAGTTGCAGACTCGGAGTTGTAAACTTTGTTGAATGTGAGAGATGCGCCACAGTAGGAAAGAAATGGTGGAAAACGTTGTTGTCACCCATAGACCTTTGCAGTCTTACCAGTATGCTTCATTGGTACCACACTCTCTTAAAAGTTTTTTTCCTGATTTTATTATGTTTTGCTCAGATTCATTTTCTAAAAAGAACATTTGTTCCCCAGTAATTGTTATTTTACCACCTTAGTAGAAAAGGGAGATTATGTTTGCCATACTGATAGATGAGTATAGACTGTATCTCCCATCAGAAATGAGGTCTTTTCCACCAAAGCCAAATATTCGTGATAGGTGGTATACAGAACCATGTTAACCTCTTGTTTTTCCAGTGTAGAGTTTAACAATACAAGTAGGAATGTTCTGCAAAAAATCTTGACTTTTGATAGTTGGTCCAGCTGACTGGTATTTACTATGCTAGAATAATTTGCAAGTGGGAGCCTGATTCTTGCAGAATTCAAATGGGCAGATTTGGGAGCATCTCTCAGAATCAGACTAAAAGCGATTGAAACTGAAGAAGTGCCATTTTTAAAAGGATGGCTGGCACGGATCTCTCTGGAGCCGGTGATTTTCAGAAAAGCATTTCATTAGTGCTGTTTCACACAAGTTACCTTGCGCTCCTTGCAGGCCAGTCTCCCTCTTGGCTTTGTTAAAGTAGCTGGAGGCTCATTCTAGATTAATGCTGCAGGATCCAGTAACATCCCTCACATTTGTGTGGCTTGAGCTTCAGTTATACTGGCAGGTGGAAGACAGAATAATAAGGGAGCTTCAATATTTGCTCTACACCGTTGGAAGATTGCTTCACAGTCGGCTGATTAAAGCCCTTGAGAGCCCATGCTTCAGTCTTTGTGTTATGCAAAGTTGATGCTCCAACTTAATACTTGTCCTCTTATTACTTGGTCTCCATTGCTTAATCAAGAGTGCAAAACCCAAAGTTAACAGTAGAGTTCAGTTTTGTAGTTATTTAAAATTGCTTTTTAGAGTTGAAATTACTTTCATCTGTGTGTCTGCCTTCCTATAACTGGATATGACACAACCTTGCAGCTTGGAGAAACCGCTCGTTTCCCTGGGCTGAAGTAGAGCTCTGTAAGCGGGCAGCACTTACACAAGGTGGTGAAAATGTACTCTGCTTTGGAATTAGAGTTAACAGTACTTTGCCAGAGGATAGCATCAGGATTAAATTTAAATAGGGCAGAAGGAGGGAGAAGAAAAGAACCCTTTCGTTCTGTGTTGATTTTATAATTTTTATTTTTTTCAAATTGGAATCTTGCAGTCCTTGCAGGAAATCTACCTTTATGCATACGCTTTACAATGAAGTAATAAAAATTCACAGTTAAGACAGTGTAATGTGGTATGCATATCATTCTCTATGCATGTGTGAGAGATTTGTCTACGTGCATACTGGAAAGAAGATGTGTATTTTTTGCTTTTTGTTCTTTAATAAGCTCATATGGATAATTTTAATACCATGCAAATGTATTTACAGCTAATCTTTAATTTCTCAGGTTCAATAGATATGGAAGGCATAATTTCTTTTTATTCCATGGCTGCTTTTTGAATTTAAATGGAAAATAATTCACTTTATAGTGTCATCAATGTAATGAGAGCCAGACTGTTGCAATTTTGTGTTAGTAGGGCTGTGTAATTTTGCGGAGTTGGTGCAAGTCCCACCAGGAGTGCATATGCACGAGGTGTTAAGCAGTTCTGCAAAGTTTATCCCCAGTGCACTAACTTCTGTGCAGTTAAAAATGTCATCTTTTATATTGCAATTCTGTAGCTTTTCTGTATTTAATAGTTGTGAACTTTAATTGATCAGCTGTGTCAGCTGGAGACCATAAACTCCCTGGGCTAGCAGGCCAATGGCATATTATGATTTAAATAATCCTGTTGTGGTTCTTTATTAAATGTTTTTAGATAAATGCAGCATGTTTCATTAAAATGAAATCCCTGCAGGAAGCAGAACTCTCTGAACTCATTTTATTATAGAGTGGGGAACTCAGCCTACTATTGCACAGAATTATTTATAATCCATCAACATACAGCAGGCTCCTGCGGCCTGACAAAAGTACTTACTTAATTTTTGAGAAGTTAAAACAAAGGTATGGACACTAGTGGTGTTGTGCTTTTAAGTTCTAATCAACAGTGGGGGAAAAAACCTTTTATTAAAAATATTAGGGGATTACAGTGACATATTGTGGAAGTCCTGTTTTTAAGGATCCACATTCCATCTCTGTTGGGTTGTGATGAGATTTGTGTTGCTTGTGCAGGTAGGGTTTGAACATTTGATACGGAATCTGTGAGTATTTTTTGATCTGGCTGTGTAGTCCCTGCAATATATTTTGTGAATTATGCTAAAGAGATCCAAGGATTTAAACAGCGATAAGCATAGGACAAATCAGAAGAAACCTTTGCAGCATGTGCAATATCCAGTATACTGACAATTTTTAGAGCTTTGGAATATTGTATTTAATCCTACAACAAGCTCAAGAACCTTTCATCCTCAATGCATTTTCAATATAATTATTTTAATGCCTACAAGTAATATGATGGAACTAGAAGTAGATTGCTTTGTGGAGAGGAAGGACGTGATAAATTTAATGCATATTTTGAAAAATTACACAAATTGGAAAGAACATGCACAAGCATCAAAAAAGTCTGCCTTGAAACAGATCTGATACTTCTCTTCAGTGCGACTGTCCTTTATTTTAAAGAGAGTATCTATTAAAATACATTAGTATACAAAACTAGGTTGATTTTCTTCTGCTTATTAGTGTTCTTTACTCTCTCTTGTACAACAAGGTGCTCTTCTTTGGAGCATACTCATTTCAGTACAGAGAAGAAGTGCTACATTTGACCTTACTAGCTCATAGCTCTTCATGTAATTAGTTTTATTTTAGCAAAATCCTTTAAATCTATCATTTTTCTTTACTAGAAACTCGTGTTCCTGAAGTTCCAAGTTCCTTACATGTCCGTCCGCTTGTCACCAGTATCGTAGTAAGCTGGACTCCACCTGAAAACCAGAACATCGTGGTGAGGGGCTACGCTATAGGGTATGGCATTGGCAGTCCCCACGCACAGACCATCAAGGTGGACTATAAACAGAGATACTATACCATTGAAAACTTAGGTAAGGAAAGGGATTAACATCAAGTTTAACCTCTAATTTATGTTACTGTTTCCTAATTATGGTATTATGAATAAAACTACATGCATGGTTTTAAGAGGATCTTTTTCCTTATTCAGCTATTAAAATGGATGCCGAACTGTTGCTAAATTTCAAATGAATCCAATTTTCTGATGACAGAGAAAGAAGCAGAGGAATAAAAATACCCAAACCCAGAATCCTAAATCCACTGAGTTTGAAGCATAGTGCATTTTGATTTGATGCTTTACCTTCAACGTTTTTTACAAAATGTTTCGTGCTCAGCAGCTTTCCCTTATTCTCCTTCTGGAGCTGCAGAACAGGTGGCTTCAGGCAAAAAATCAACTAAAATGTCACCAAGATACAGTGATATCTACTTTAAAAGAAAAATATAGAATCGTTCCTCCACAGAATTCTCTGTGGTAGATAAGATATCCTGAAAGCAAAATAAATATTAGTATTCTGAACTGTTGAAAAGTTCCATAAAATTGGAGTTTTGAGTAATATTATAGTAGAGCAACTTAATATGTTCATTTTAAACTCTTTTTTCTTACTGCTGTTTTGACTGTACTTAAGGTAGATTTGCTGTGACTATAAACTTTTGCTGTCTGAGAACTCTTGAACACTAACAGAAGGTCTGTACGGACACATTCTCAATTCAAATTTCATCTAGTCAGGTATTTCAGGTAAAAAAAAATAATTACTGAACAAAGAGAAAATGGAGAAGCAGAAAATAGGATTCATTATCAGTCTGCACTAAAATTATATTTAATTTTTTTCCCCTTTAGATCCAAGCTCCCACTATGTCATAACTCTGAAAGCCTTTAACAATGTTGGTGAAGGAATCCCTCTCTATGAGAGTGCGGTGACCCGGCCTCACTCAGGTAAATGCGAGGGGCTGCTTTTAAGTTCTGCACAGCTCAAAATTGTTAACACACCTCTGCACAGCAGCTGAAAATGTGATGATATGTCCTATAAGAGTGTTGCTTATCAGTGCCGTCAAGGACTCTCCATTCCCTTAACTGATTGGCCTTATATTTCAGTGATTGCCTCACATGTTTCATCCATTTATTAAACCACCTAAAATTGGTTTCATTAAATTACAAAACTTACCTTTCAACTACTTATAGATGTTCTTACTCAAAGTTACCATCGCATTAGCACAAGTTTGTGTGAGTGCAATTCTAAAGGCATGTCCCTTACTATGTTTTTTATGGACAAGTATAGATTTTTTTTTTTGGTCTTTTACACTAAGATTTTGAATACGCTGCCTGCATTTTCTTTGTCTAAGCCTCAGTCTTCTGTCACTTGCACTAAACAAATTCTTGGCTTTTTTTTGTCCTGTAATACATTAATAAAAGATTTTTCAGCACAGAAATTGTTTGTAAGTGAGCTATTACTATGCTATGGTTCACTGTGCTCCCTCCTAGACTGCTGACATGATGTAGTTATTTTATGTAGATGTTAACACTTCTGTTTGTTCTAGTCTTCTGAAGAGCAGTATTTCTTATAGATTTTATAGAGGACATTGGAGTTGCAGTTTCTTCAGTTACTGCAAATTTATATGACACTTGGAACTTGACTGCCGTTAATACTCTTTAAAAGGTGATGGGAGTTCCCTGTAGTTTTTATGAGGTGACATTTACCCATCTAGAAGTCCAGCTCTCTTTCCTCCTTGTTGTTTTCTGGAAGAGGAATCAGTGGACATTCTGAGGCAGATAAAGTCAAAGTTTAAAATTACTGTATGTTTGGGGTTCTTAGGCCATGGTTGAATGTACTGAACACTAATATAATTAGGTGTATATATATATATTAGCATATATCTGTTATCTTACTGTCTTAAGAAGGGAACACGATGCAAGAGTAATTTTATTAGCCAGTCTTATGTCACCTATTAACTCTGGATTTTCTCTCTTTTTCTCCATTTCTCACCTTTCATTTCATTGTACTACCCTGCATTTCCCCTTTTTTGTTTTTGTTTACATTAAAATGCCACCTTCTCCCTTTTTAATTATAATACACTACTTTTTACCCATCAATTCCCTAGACACTTCCGAGGTTGATTTGTTTGTTATTAATGCTCCATACACTCCAGTGCCAGATCCATCTCCCATGATGCCACCGGTGGGAGTTCAGGCTTCCATCCTGAGCCATGACACCATACGGATCACTTGGGCAGACAACTCTCTGCCAAAGAACCAGAAGATCACAGATGCTCGCTACTACACAGTTCGCTGGAAAACCAATATTCCTGCAAATACAAAGTACAAGGTATTGGAGTTTCAACAACACTAACACAGCTGTGTTATTTCAGTGAGAAGAAGTTTCATGTTCAAGTCAGGGTTCAGTGAAAATGAGAGTAAAGACAAGCACTTAGAAAATGGTGTAGAGGTGTGCTCACTTTTATTTGAGATGCCTGGACTGAGTTCATGTCAGTGCTGCTCAATTAAATCATCACTTCAGAGATGTTCCTAGACTTAGTGGCAGTAGTTGGTTTTGTGGTGTTTTGTGTATTTGTGTGAAAGAGGTTGCAGTGGGGTGTTGTGTGTGAGTGAGTGGAAGAGCTGGCTGGGGGAAGGAAGGCGAAGGCCGTTCTGCTGTGGAACCATGGACACGCTGACAATTTTATCCTTTCTACTTCACCCTAACATGATCACTTTGTGTGACAGATGTGGGTTTACCTTTAGAGGAGCCAATAATGCAGTAATAAGTTATGTGTCACTAATGGCATCTCTCCACTTAGCAGAAGAACCTGAATTTGTGGGGTGAGTCATGCAGGGAAAATATTTACCCTGACAGTTTTCAGTTTCCTTTTACAACCTTTTCTATTCATATAAAGTTGATAATGAACCTTTCCTTTGGGAACTGAATGTGTGCAAAATATATAACAACAACTTCATGATACCCCTGCTTTCCTTGATTTTCATCTGCTGTTTTGATTTGGAGACCAGATTCGGGGTTCAGTTTGTCGGTTTGTATTTGTTTAGTTGGTTGGTTGGATTTTTTAATTTTCAGAGTTATCTAGAGGCCTAAAAATTGCTGACTGCAAATTTCACATTTGAAATGAGACTCAGAGGAAATGGTTGTTAAAATATCCTGCTAGTGGAGCTCCCTTTATGCTCTTGCAGAGCAATCTTGTTACAAACCAGATCTTTCTTTTTTTGTTGAAATGAAAAGATGTATATTTGTATGTTCTTCCTCTAAAGGCAAGTTATTTATGAACCCACATTCCTGAGTCATGTGCAGAGGATGTCTTGGGAGTGATTTATATAATGCTGCAGTTTCATTAGTTAAATGCTTAAAAAAAAAACACCCTCAGTGGTAAATGAAATACTCCCACTGTTCTCAGTGCTGGTGGCCAGTGGTCAAGAAGTTTTATTGTGGACCAAAAATAAAATGTAATGATGGAATATAGTTCAAAATTACTCATTGTAAAAAGCATTTGCCTGAAAGGACATAAGTTTAAGAACATTTTCTCTAATCATTTTTAACCCATGATGTTTGGAGAACTCATACACTTTCTTTGTTTCAATCATTAATCCTGTACTACTCTGAACAACAGCAGTTGCTAATTTTAAGAAAGACAAAACGTCTTTTCAGCAGTGCTGTTCAATGAGCTGTTTCTTTTCAGTCAGGTCTTTGATAACTTTATTATGAGTTAGTATGTTGTTTGTCATGGCCATCTCTAGAAGCTTTGTTATTTATTGCTTGTTTTGAGGCCGCTCATCCAGTTGCATCAGTGCTTCTCTGTTACGCAGCCTTGCACACAGAAATTTTATCTTTCTGTCAGTTCTCTAGTATCCAAAGCTACATCTGTTTCACACAGTGTTGTTTCATCCATCCCTCTCATCAATAAATTGGTTGTTGATATAGTTCATTCATATTTACTACATTTGCTCCCCGCTTCTATGCTGACATTCGCAAACTATTGTTAAAGAAGAGGCTGCATGCTTCAAACATAAGTTAAGAGGTTCCACCTTAAGGAGCCTTATTTTCTTAAATTTGTATAGGAGTCATGTCAATCTAGAGCATATAAACACAGGAACAGATGTGATACAGTTCCTGGAGCTAAAAGACTCCACTGTGCTTTGAACCATGTAGTTTCACTAATGTGGATTGGAGAGCATTTTTCAAAGAATCTTTGTTGGTGGAGCAGAGTTGTCCTACTCACAGTCTGCCTGTGATTTACCAATGTGCTCTCAAGCATAAACTAAAATATTAAATCTTAACTTAGATCTTTTAGGACTGTGTAAAAGGAAAATAAATATTACAGAGTGTTATTTATGAAGTCTATTTCTAGTAGGTGAGCAGGGTTTGGTACCATGGGATATGTTGTGATCTTAAAAACAGTAAGTGGTGTTAAAAAATGAAAACGAAGGGAAGTCCAACACTCCAATACAGCCTTTCGTGTGTCGTTTACGTTCAATATGACGTGTGGTGAAGCTAAAAGATAGCAGGTTTCAGAGCCATAGATGAAAAATACAACTTTAACCTGTAAAAAGGACTCCATCTGCCACACATGACTGCAGGTAGGAGCTATAAAAGACTATAAACAGAGTCAAAGGCTTAAACACTGTTTAGGATTTCCATAGGTATTCTAACTAGGAAGAAATGGTGTGCTTCTCAGGGTAACTCAGATCGTGATGCAAGATGCTAGGAAAAGATTTCTCCTTTGGACTTGCCATTATATAATTGTCCTGGGCAAAGGTCCTCCTTTACTAGGGAGATTGTGCTCAGTCAAGCTTTGTCACTGAACTAATGTAAGAAATGTCCTGCTCTCCACTTAACCGTTGGGATCATTCAGCCACAATCGCGTTGTCTTTGAGACTACACTGAGTTTGTATCAAGTGAAGGTTTAAAGTTAATGGAGGATTTTATTTTAATTAGTTTTATGATGTCTTTGTTGTCTGTCCACCCCTGTGATGTCTAACTGCCAAAATGCACATCTGTGAACAGCCACATTCTTTGTACAAATCTATCACTTGACTAACAGTTTTCTGAACTTCCACCTGATGTAAGAAAAAAAGCTGTCACTAATACTTGAGAAATAAGGGTTTTCTTTGCAGAATTTGGACTATGTTATTCCTAAGACTCTTCAAGAAATGTGCCTTTTCCTTGAAAATTAATTAGCTGAAAACAGTTGTTTTCTGAAGACAGTAGTTGTATACAGTTGTTGTATGGCCCTGTCAAATATTGACACAACTAACTCTTTAATTCTGTGTTTAGATCGCTGTAGGTCAAGGTAAGGAATATACATCTATGTAGATACTTTTTTTTTTATAGGCCTCAAGTACATTCTGTTCACATTCAAGTCATGTATAACAAATATCAGATATTTTAACCAAAAGGTCAGAAATTCTAGCTAAATGGCTGAGTTACAAATTCCTCTATAAACCATTTGTAGTCTCAGTGTGCAATCCTAGATAACTGTTTTTCCTGAAAAAAAATCTACATATTAGTAGAGCTTCAAGTTTCATTACCTGTACCATCAGCTGGTTTGGTGTTTTGTTTTTTTTTTTAAGGATGTTCAAAATTTACTGAAAATTCTAACAGGAGTTTGGAAGGCAGATAATAGATTTCAAGAAGGACTGTTACTGTTAGCTGTACTTCATTGTTTTCCCTAGCCAGATCAGTTAATGAAATGCTGTAAATTAAACCCCCCAAGTAGACAGTGATTTAGCCTGCTGCATAACAAGTGTGCCCTGGACCTTCTATTGCCTTTTTTTTAAATTTATAATTGACTGCTATTAAATGCTCTTGCTGATTGCAGAATGAATTTCTAGTTTAGGATAAAACAACTGCACATTAATACTTGATTAATGAATTTGCATGACAGAGCAAAACCGTTACAGAATTAATGACTGTGGTTATGAAAATGTAGCGATGCTAAAATGTTTTAAACACTTACTTACCTGAGAGTGTTTGAGATCTGGTGATTGACGGTTTTCAGTTCAGAAGTTACTGACTTTTTCATTTTTCTTTCAGACTGCAAATGCAACCACTTTGAGCTATTTAGTGACTGGGTTAAAACCAAATACCTTGTATGAATTCTCCGTGATGGTGACTAAAGGTCGAAGATCAAGTACTTGGAGTATGACAGCACATGGAACAACTTTTGAATTAGGTACTCCTTCGTGTCTTTCTGGAAGGGCCAACATTCCTGATGAGATGAATAAAGTCGAGCCTGCCAGAATTCTGGAGGAGGGAAAGCATGCATTTAAAATTATTATGCTGATGAATACTTGCTGGGGGGTTCTTTTCTTTACAGTTTAGTCAGAAATTCTGATTAAAAAACAACAACATACTTCAAAATTCAAAGGGATGATTGCATGCAAAAGTATTTACATCAAATTACAGAGAAGTAATGAATAATGTACCACAGTTCATGGACAAGAGAGAATAAAGAAGCATATGCTTGAAGCATCTCAGAAGTAGCATGGTTACAGCAAATACAAAGAAAATACTTTTGCAAATAATAATTAAAATTTGCTATAATTATGATGATAATTATTAGAGTGAGTAAGTGTATGAGGCCAGTGAATTTTTAAAAAATCTCAGTCGAAGTTAAGACATCCAAATCAGCCCTAAATTCTTGTTCTTCCACAGGAGTTGCCATTGCAGTCCTCAGTGCTGTAGAAATACGGGCTCTCAAAGTACAGACAGAAGAGGGTTTGTAGATGCCGGGAGGAACTTTGTCCCACTGAGTGACCGTGAGGTCCAGAACCCGACCTGTCCCTCATTAGCTCTTTTTATCCTGCAGTACCGAATGATCTTTGTGCAATTAAATTTACTGCTTATTATGCTTAAGTTTCTCTTCATATAAACTGTAAGGACAAAAAATAACCTATCCAAATTACCCTGGAGTTCTCATGGTAAATTAAAACACAGCAAAAAAAATCAAGCATGCAAAGAATTAGTGAGATCATCCAAATATTCTATAACAAGATGTAAGGAAAGGCAAAAAAGCAAACCCAGGATAAAATCAGGAATCTCCTAACTTTGAAGTCCAATAAACCCTTAGCAAGCTTCAGTTGCTTTTGAAAACATTGTCTTAGATTTTGGTGGGAATTCCGTGATGTGGAGCCAGCTACTGTTCCGCCAGCTCAGGTCTGGACTGAGGCTCCTTTCCCATTCCAATTACTATGCCCATCCCATGTTAAAACACTTTATTTTTGCTGACACACATGCAATTCTCATCCATAACTTGAAGAGCAGGCACTAAAAGTTGCACAAAGAATTTGAAACTCAAAAAAGTACAGGAGCGAGGGTGAGATACAGGAGGTCTCATTTAATTTAAATAGAAAGTAAATTTCTGGTTGGGTAGGTTGTAAAGACTGTTTGAAAATATGACCTAAAATATTGGGAACTGAGAAGCAAATGAAAAAGAAACAGAAAAAAGGCTAAATATATTTTCTCATAGCAGATCTTGTGATTTATATTACTCGCCAAATTCCTGAGTGTGTGACTCATTATTTTTGAATAGTCTTGAGTAGCAGCGTTGTATAGGATTTCCTCCTCTACTAATGCTGAAGAAAAATACGGGATACTGGGTTCAGTGTTTGTAATTACTCTGAATTTGTAATCTCTTGTGGGATAGTCCTGATTTTTACTTTTTCTTCTCTGAACCTTACTGTAGGGCCTTGAATTGTGCTTTACATCTGTATGTTTCCGTTGTTTTGATTATTCTGTTTGTTTTAAAGTATTTGGAATAATAGTTACAGTAACTTTTGAGCTTTTGCTGTCCCTGGTTTCCAACTGTTATTCTGCACAGGAATAACAGTCAGGCTGTCTCAGAGGATGGACAGATTAATTTCTAATAGGTAATATACATAAAGCTCTTTAAATGCATAAAGCACTGTGTAAGCACTAAATGTTACTATTATGGTATTAAATATCCAAGGCGGATTTACTTTGCTAAAAGTTACCTAATTAGAAGTCTCATTTTTTCATAATGTGGCATTGCAAACTGTGGCTGGTTAATGCACCTTTGGAGACATTGGCTCTGTGCATTTGAAAGCCATTAATCTAGGCCCCAGCTGGATATTTTACTTCACAGCAAGAAGGGTCTCAGATTTCAGTCTTTTGCTGGAGCAACTTGTGCCATTTCCTGAACTTTAGGCAGGAGGAGGCTGATGGCAGAAGGAAGTGCTCTCCCCCTCTCTCTCGATCTTACTCTCTGGCAACCCAGGAAAAATGATTGGACACTTGTGTTCAGTAAATATTTCTTGATTTCAAATCCTTCATGGTGCAGATTTCCCTGCAAATCACAAATAAGTCTTCAATAAAGTAAATCAGTAATTACAGATAATAATTGTAAAACTCTGGTGAATTTACTCTGCTGATTTGCTGTTTGCTGGCCAAATAGCATTACTAGGTCTTGGTCCCACCATAAACCTGTAAATATGCAGATATTTCATATGCCTGTGCATATAAAAAGTATTTATTTCACAGGTTCGTGTAATTTTTATGATGCCTGAAGAAATTCAGGTTAGAAGTCATTGACCCCAACTGTTAGTTGTACAAAGATGCCATGGCTTTGAAGACACATGGGCTCACTCAGTCATGAATCACAGCATCTGTTGACAGAAGTGCTTTAGAGACGGGTAACTCCGTACAGAAAGGAGATGCTGCACACCAGATGGCATTTGCCAGTTGAATGGAGTAAATCAGTAGGACCACTACACTAGGCTGGTAGATATATTTGAAGATTGAACATTCAGAGTTACTATTGTACGTGCCCTTTTTCAATGGTAGAACAAATAAAAAGCTGAGGTTACCTGAAGTTGCTGAGGTTACTTGTTTATATCCAGTGAAATTGGGCAAGCTGTTTCTGATAGTCTGGTTTTTGTCTGTTTGCAGTTCCTACTTCTCCTCCCAAAGACGTGACTGTGGTGAGCAAAGAGGGAAAACCTCGGACAATAATTGTTAACTGGCAGCCTCCATCCGAAGCCAATGGCAAAATTACAGGTGCAGTTTGCATGAGCAATAAAGGCAGATATAAGATGCCTGGTTAACAGCAAAATGTAATCTGCATAACTACGTGAATGTGTTCCATACTTCATTTAGCCTGGAGCTAGCCAAGAGGACTCGTATCTTCTTTGTCAATCTTTTTAGTAGCTCAGATTAATTATTTACTTTTGTACCTAGTAAAAATATATTAAGATATAAATTAACTGCAGTGTGAAATTGGGAGTATAACCAGAAATATAATTGAAAGTTTAAATATCTCAATAACCTTTGCCTTCATTAGCTTGTGCTGTTCTAATAGCGTGCCTCCAGAAATACATCTGTAATGCCTCTGGCCCATCAGTATTTTATTTAGAAGAATCCATCCCAGTGCTCTTTGTCATTTTTGTGGCACAGAACAGACTTCAAGTCAGTTTATTAGTCCCCTGACATAACCATTAGGAGTAAACTGTTATTTGCCTTTGTATCTGCATCACTTTCAGTAGGATAAATCATTTTACAGAAAATAATAGTTACTATTTCTCTTCTATAATTTCTGTTTGGATTCCCATTTCTAAAGGCATTCTGAAACAATTCACTTCAGTTTTCCTTTTTTTTTAACCTCAGGCTTTAAGCTGCTTTTAATGGCATATAGTTTGCAGTGTGTGATTTTGCTTTTGTTCTCAGAATTAACTGGTGCAGAATCAAACCTTTGAAACCTGTCACCAACAGGCATCTGATGAGGCAATACTGTAGCCTAGTTTCTAGACAGGAGATGAAAACTAAAGACAGAATAGTGGAGACTCTTAACCTTGAGTAATTACAGTCAACTTTTAAGTAAGCCCTAAGACAGACCCCTAAAAGGCAAAGGGGCACTGAGCAAAGGCTGCAGGTCAGACAGCATGGCTGTAACAGGTCTGTCTTGCAGGTGTCAGTGCTAAGACAAGAGGGCAGGAAGGGCTGTGAAACACCAGTGTGCTGCTTTTCTGTATGGTCGGTGCCCAGTATGTCTCACAAGTGGAGCTGTAAGGTTGCAGCTCTGACAGACGGCAGCTTGTTCTGCACCAAAATGCCTGTTGGAGCTGTTGGTGTGTCTCTGCATGCATATAGCTGTTTATATGTTCTATATAGGGTTTTTTATATTGGCTGTAAAGCCAATTCTGTGGTTTTTTATTATCAGCAAGATGTTTCCTCTTTATGGGAAAGGAGGTTTGACTGAAGAAAGAAGAGCCTTTATCTTAACTGCAGGTTAAAGGACTTGCTAGCAGTCCATGAGGGGCATTCAGACAGGTGTGAAATGTCAGGCACAAGTATGCCCGGGTTATATATGGTCCTAAAAAGATAATCCTGTCATCTTACATCAAGTGCAAATATGAGAAAGGGAAGGCAGTGTACAAAGAAATCAGCATTTACTTGCACAATGTGGTTAGCAAAATTACCATACACATTGTTTTCCAGATGAAAAATCTCCTTGTAGTCTGTACTGTGGAGTACCTTACATTTATTCATACATGTAGAATGAAAACGTATAGTATTTATTAATTTTTGCTTAAGCAGTAGTTAACAGCTGAAAAATAAAATAAATCTTTCTGTGGTTAAGTCTGAGTCCACCAAAGATTAGATTCCATTTGGCAGGGGAGCAAGGTGTGGGCTGAGTGCCCTCTGGTGGGAAGAGCCACCGACAGCGGGAGAAGCAGCTTACTACTCCCGTAACTACTCATTTAACGCAGCTCAGTTCTTTCTGTGCATTAAGTAAAAACTAAGTGATGATGTCATTCCACGCACTGGGTAGCATGTCTGTGGAATACTTATCTTTTCAGCTCTAATCTCCTTTTGATGTGGGTAGGGTGGATGTGAAATACTGAACTGTGCTACTCTGGATTCCAGATGTTTGTGCATCATTATAGTTGCTGACTAATTAGTACAGTCATAAATTAACTCAGTAGTCTTGTGTCACTATACTTTATATAGTGCTTTTAACTGTCACTATATGTATATGTTGCCCCTTCTCAGACAAGTTACAGTTACGTTGCTTTGTGACCTGTACAAATAGCAAATTATTGAATCTACTCCCCAGTAGTCAGTGCCACCAAGGGAAGAAGTTAAGCACACCAGACCTACAACTGGCATTTTAAGTGCTACCCTCTGTGCCTCTGTGCTGTACTGGTTACTGTGAATTATGTGAATTTGGGGTATGGGGGTTCTTTAAGAACTAGAAGTCACTCTGGAGAAGATCTCCCCTTCCCTACCAGGATCCCCAGATGGGTGGGCTGTGGGATATCGGAAGCAGCAATCTGTGCATGAAGCAGCTGATGACCCAACCCTATGCTGGTTTAAGTATTATTTTATGCTGGGGCTCCATGTTTCTTTGATAAAGGGTTAGAGAGCTTTTACTTTCTATTGGTTTGTAATTGCAGTGTATTTTAGTAACAGAACATCAACTCTTCCCGTACATTTTTTTTCTGTGACATGCAGGATAACTTCAGTTTTCAGATTGTCATCATCTTTGGTAATAAACTGAAAAATAATAAACTAAACTACTGAACACATTCTTTAGCTGTGCATGAAAATGTTTTGCTGTTTTAACGTTAACTATTTTCTATAAATATTAATACTTTGACGATGTTTTGATAATAACAGCTTTACGTTATTTTACATTATTTGGTCTATAAACAGGTAATGAGATGGAAATGAGGAATTTCTCTATATTCACTGATCAGTGGTCAAAAATAATTTTGATATTTTAAATGGCTTTTTTCCTCTTAGTGCATACTTTTGAACAGTTTAAAAATTTAAGATGGGAAGGCTGTCTAATATTTGAATGCATTCTTAGTCTTTGAAAAAATAAGAATATAGTTTCAGAAAACCCATTTATCTGTGCAAGTATCATTAAAAGTCAATAGAACATTTTCTGTGAGATCTTACACTGTCCTATTTTATGCATAAAGTTCTTTTGATTTTCCCTTTGAATAGGGTACATCATTTACTACAGTACGGATGTGAATGCTGAAATACATGATTGGGTTATTGAACCTGTCGTGGGAAACAGACTGACCCATCAGATACAAGAATTGACCCTTGATACGCCTTATTATTTCAAGATTCAGGCCCGCAACTCGAAGGGCATGGGGCCTATGTCTGAGGCAGTTCAGTTCAGAACTCCAAAAGGTGAACTATCATGTAAATCTCAGTATCTTCCTCCTTGTTTTCTGAATACAACCTCAGTAAGGTTAAATATAAAATTTATGCTACTGGTATCTTAAACTGGAAAAGACAGGAATACAATGGAGTTTGACTAGAATGAAATTTTCTATTGGACTGCTTTTGCATGTAGTTAATACATACGGAAATGTTGCTCAGCTGCTTGATTAATTGTGTTGTTTCAGAATTACTGGTGGGCACTTAGGTCATCTAGTTATTAATGCTGAGGGTCTGTGTCATAAATGTGCTTTTAGAAAAGAAGGTTTTAGATGATTTAAGATTCTAGGTCTTGTGTGTCACGTCTACTCATGATGAAAGCAGCAGGCTGCTCACTAGTGACTTGGATGATATAATGGGAATTAGTGTGACACAACAGGCTCTTAAATCGGGAACTGCTGGGTAATGGGTAACTAGTGAAATAGTACAAATGCATGATAGCTTGGAAAAAAGTACCCTGAGGTGACAAAGAAAGTTATGAGTAGATTTTTTAACAGTACTTTTTTCATTTGAGTGTTGGTGGTTAGAAATGAGAGCTCAAGCAGTCTACTTACACTGTGTGAAACTTTAAATTCTGTCTCTCGCTCCTTCAAGCCTTGTGATCTCTCTCTTGTTTTTTCCTTCCCTGTGCTTGTCCCACTAGCTGAATCCTCAGATAAAATGCCTAATGATCAAGGTAAATGAATAGCCACGCTTTCTCCTTCATTCCATCCTCCACACATTTTGTTTTTCCTGTCCATGTGCTGTTGTATTTCCTAAATGAAACAAGTATCTGGTGCTCTAACTGTAAATGAGCAAGTTGCTGTTGTGCTTTTAATAGTGGAAGAACTGAAAGTCCTATTTGTGGTTTGAGTGCTAGGAATATAAAGTGATCTCTGTAGTCAGATGTCACATGCAGGAACAAGTGGGTTGTGCCAGAGCTGAATCATTCTGTCAAAATGAATTTGGGTTAAGTGATACTCCAGCCAGCCTCTGACCACTAATGCAAGATCTCAGTATGTAGAGGTGGAAAATCAAACAGTTATCTAATTAGCACAAGAGCTGTTTTGTGATCTCTACATCTATAATTATTTTCATAGTAAAGGAAAGTATGCCTGCTCTAGAAAGCTTTTTTGCAAGAGATATTCTGCTTGTCAGCTCATTTAGACCCCAGACTCTCCCTGAAGAGCACAGCATTAGCTACTAAAAGCCTTAAGGTTTTAAAATGCTAGCTTGAAAAATGATAGCTTTGAGTTTACTACATTGAATTATAAGGTGAATGTCCCAGGGCTATTTTTGCTTTCTTCCAAATAACCTACAAGCCCAATAAAAAGGGGAAGAATTAGTCTAAAGGACATTGGCAAGCAGCTTAGACATACAATTAAATAGATCCTAAAGGGATCAGCTTTTTTTTACTTGCTTTTCAACTTGTTACTTAGAAGTAATTTATTAAATATGCTTTTACCTTCTGTGTACCAAATAATGCTGATACTAGGTGGTTATGGAGTAAATTCATATCCAGACTTGTGTAAGCAAGATGCTAGCTGAGATTCAGGCTTGTCTGCAGGGAAGCAGATGCTCACCGTGGCACCATTAGTGCTCAATGCATGTGGAAAGGAATAGGGGAAGATTAAAAGGGTTTATGTAAAAGTTGCTGTTTTCTGTTCTGCACTATTCTAACCTCGTATCAGCAGATAATTAAATCTCATCCTAAATGAACACGTCCTTCTGGTAACAATTTGATTCATTTTAATCAAATTATATAACTTATAAATCATAAAACCCTACATAAAGCCCAAGAGAGTTTTGCTTCAGAATTCCTATACGAACACTCGGAGATTATAAATCATGGCAGTAGGTTAAATGTAGTAAAGGAGAAGACAAGCTGAAGAGCAGAAAAGCCTGCTCTGTGACAATATCACTGAATTGCAGAATTGTGTCTTGCAGGAAATACTAGGCAAGTTATTTGAGACTGGGAAGGAACAAAGCTACAATGGAATTGACTCTCCGGCCTTAGTGGTTCTCTTTTCTTTTTTTTTCTCTCCCCTACTTTAATGTTTCTCTTCTGTATTAAGTACACTGTATTGTTCTTCACACACTTCTCTAGCACAGAGCTTGTATTAGGAGTTGTTAGTGGCTGTTGCTGTCAGGCTTCAAGGAGTTGCACTGGCCAAGTACAAAAGAGAAGGTTAAGGTATCTCATCCAACTAAAACTATCATAAAGTAACACAAAGCTAAACTATGCTGTCTGGCTGCAGCAGTAATGGGTAATGTGGAGATTGACAAGCTAGAAAAAAAACCACCCCACAACCAATTTTAAGCAAATGTTATCTTAAACTGGTCCTTAATATAGAAGGAAATAGAAAGTCTCAGCAACAGACTCTGTAAGGTCCTGGGAAAAAGGCTGGTGTCCACACAGAAGATGCAGCATGTGCACATGCTTGTTCAGAGCAAACAGATGATGCAGCATATGCACATGCTTGTTCAGAGCAAACCGTGTAGAAGCAAGGCTTGTGCTTCCTGCCACGGTGGTGAGAGAGGTGATGAGTTACCGTCCTTTCGCCCGCATAAACTGCAGAGAGGCCTCAGGTCATCTTTCAGGTTGCTCTGCCTAGGAGATGAGCTCCCCAGAAGGCTAAACTTGATCCTTGGTTTCAGGAATTAGATACTGAGAAGCATCTTGGTTAGGTACCTAAATTACATCGTATTTTGAACACCAGACTTTGAATCTTGTAGTTACCTTTGCATTTTTGGAAATGAACAGACACTGACACCACACAGTCAGGGCCAGTATCAGGTGTCCCTGAACTCCACGAGGATAGTGTGCAGGTAGTTATTCCCAAGGATGTCTAAATCCTTCAGAAATACGACTGCTTGCCGGAATGTTCCTTCCTCCATATCGCTACCTTTCAACATTGTTATCATCTAAATTCGATTTATGTACTTTGTCACAGGCACACGTGAGGGGTACATAAAATCTGCAGTTGGCTGTGTGAGTATATATATTGTTGAGGGAGTGCAGACCCCATCCATGATAAACCACACCAACTCAGTGTGTTACATGTACCACATGATCCCTGTTGGTCTGTGCAGGTGACTTTGTATATCTTATTATCTACTCCATTATTTTATGTCATCTGTTAACTTCAGTAGCAATTATTTTAATTTTCTCTTACGGTGTTATTAAGGATATTGAATTACACTTGGCCTAGCACGGGTCTTTGCAGAACTCATTAGAAATAGCCCTCGTGAATAATGAGTCTGCAATTATAATTCTTAATCTTATCAGTTAATTAGTTGTTAATCTTGTTAATATGTGCCACATTGCTTTTTTATTATGGTCTTTTTAACAAAGCATTGTACAGTACTCACTAAAATGTTTTATGGAAGTTAAATATAGTATGTCTGCATAGTTACTGTTACCAACCAGATTTATAGTCTGACATTTAGTTTGTTTGAAAATACTTGTTTGCAATGAAACAGAAAGATGGGCCACCATTTCCTATCTGTCTGTCACCTTTTCCATGATCTTGCCTATGTTAAGGCTCCAGCTGCTGCACTAAAAAAGCATGGGGTGTGTATTTGCCCTTTACAGTATTGTCAGTTATTTTTATTCCCCCCTTCTCCTACAGCTTCTCTGGTGCTCCAACATATCTTCAGCGCCAGGTTCAGTGATCTGGGGTTTTTTTCACATCTTTTCAGTGAAGTTATCTGGTCATACAGATGTCAATATATTAAATACAAGCTGTTTAAAATTCTGTTAAATTATTTCACTGCTGCTGAAAAATTACTAATCAGTACTTCAAAAACAGACATTTTCACAGAATTCAATCTCCTCTTTAGACTGGCAGGTGCAATATGTCTTTTTTGGTATAGATTTGTCCTGCAATACATCTTTTCCATTATTTTAGACTATGTCTAACTCCTCACTGTAAAGGCATAACATCCCTTCTTACCCTTCTCAGGGTTTAGTCAGTATTCTGGCTGGTACCTTTTGCTGGTTTTACCAATTGTCTTTATTTCACAGTGACTAATTTACAGGCTTTAACATTAGGTTCTCAATTTCCATTTGTTAACATCCTTTAACACTTATTACTTCTTGATTGAAGTGAATTTTTAACTGAGAAACTCCTCCTGATTGTGAAACTGCCAATTATGCAGACTTTTGGGTTTTTGTGGGTTTGGCTTTCCCAGTGTAAAAAATGTGCAAAGTATTATGGATTCCTGTTGTTCTTTGCATCTTGCTATGTTTCCCTTACTACAGTATGTTTATCATTCACAGTAATTTTGTATTAGTCTATTTTAGACAGAACCAGGGTTTTGGATATCTTTATCTGCAGGAAGCATTCTGCTAGCTCAGGAGAGGTCTTAACATTAGAGGTGAACTTGTGACTTCATGCATCTCGCTGTGGCAGCAAGTGATCTAAATGAGACCTGAATTATGCAAGGAGAAGGGCTTGCTAGAGTGAAAAGAGGACAGCATTTCAGTCAGTAGGGCAGCTCTTGCAGTTAGCCCCTAGGAGCCCACTAGCGGTAGCTAAGGTTCAGGAGGGGCTGGGTAATTTGCTTCAGTTTGTAATAACTGAGGTACAGATACGTTTACTTCCATTGTCAGCCTATAAATGTAAAGCTTGGGAACTAAATAATTTGTTTTCCCAGGTTTCACAAAAAAAACATTTTTGTGGTATCTCATTGTCACTTGTGGCAAAGGTGAAACAAACAGACAAGAGCTGGGAGAAGCTGAGAGCAAGTTTTTATGGATAGGCGGGGACTGAATATTATGTTTACTGTGATTTTGATCCTCCACAGTCTTCCACACTTACTGTAATTAAGTATTAGGAAAAGAAACCTGTATAATTACTGTTTCAAGGTGATTAACTGTCTGTACAAGTGTGGCAAAGCCATTTGCTTCAATATATACCTGTGTATTACTCCAAATAATTTTTCTATTTTTTAAAATGAATACTAGTAGAGGCTTTTAAGCTTACTTAGGAAAATAGTAACACAGGGAAAAAAATATTAAATAGCTCTTCTGAAGAAGCGGTTCTCTTCTTTGAGAAACACAGTTGCTGTTCAAAGTCAAATCGTGTTGTACGGGAGAGAAAAGGAGAGGAAAAAAAAATGCTCACAGTGGTTCAGAGTTCTGAAAGAGCTACCTTATAAATGCTAAAGTGGGTGTTATGTGTGTATGTATATAAAATTAGAACGTATACAACCTTTTCAGCTTCAGGATCTGCAGGGAAAGGAAGCCGCCCAGTGGACATAGGACCAGATTACAAACCTCCACTTGGGGGTAAGTGTTGTTTCAAAGCTTTTCAATTTGAATGCAGTGTCTTGGTGTTTCACCAAGTGATGCTGTATCCTACTGAAAATACTTATTACATCTGTTCCAGTAACTTTCTCTCCATGATGATAGTTGTTCCCACTTAAGAAATTGTATCATACTTCTGTCATAGTGTTCTTGCCTAATGCGTGGGGTATATGGAAAAAATACCATCACACGCATTTACATTTCAGTCTTGATAAGCAGATCTTGTTCCCAGTTCAGTTTTAAATGGCTGCTATAGGGCACAAGTGTAAAATTAATTCAGTAAGAACATATTAGGAGGAAAAAAAAAATCCTAACTCCTTCTGCTTATTAGCACTGTGCATTGCGGAAGCCTTGCCCTAAGGTAACACTCATTACTGTTACATAAAATGTGTTTCTTTCAGAGGAAAGTGACCACTGTAGAGTACTGATACTGATTCATCTGATTATTGGGTCCAAGGGGATGCCTGTAGTGCTTTAGTTTTAGCAAGGTCCCAGGTTAACTCTCCTTAGACTCTTAAACTATTGAATTTTTTAATGGTAACTATTTGAGTAGGGTGAAAATAAATTTTTATAGACTGTTAGTTGGAAATGGATCTATAAAGCATCTTACATCTTAACAATTGTACAGAAACACAATTGGCAAATAACAAAAATATAAGCAAGCACTTCCCTTGAAATCCTGGCAGACAAACCATCTTTCTCATTCTGCTAATTTGTGTGAGTCTGGAAGTCTTTGATGGGCACTGCTTGCTTTTGATGGGGACTTTTTCTATGTAATAAATAACACATTTCTCCCATCTCAAACTCTTTCAGGCAGTAACAGCCCCCATGGAAGTCCTACTTCTCCCTTGGACAGCAACATGCTCCTTGTAATCATAGTGTCTGTTGGAGTGATCACCATTGTGATAGTGGTGATAGTCGCTGTCTTCTGCACCCGTCGTACAACTTCTCACCAAAAAAAGTAAGATGTCTGGGTGGCACCTTGCCCTGTCCTACCAGCCTTACATAATTCTGTTATTTAATCTTTTCTTTATGATGCTTTAGAGTTTATGACTTCTAAGTCTTGCAGGCTGTAAAGTTCTGGTCTGACAGCAGATCAGTAATGCAGTTTGAGTTCTTGTGTTCAGAAGATAACATGCATCAATACAGCTATCATGCATGTGACGATGATGATGATGTTCTGTCTTTCCTAATCAGTGGTTCAGAGTTTACAAACAAACCATCAAGAGTTTACAGGCAAACTGGGGCAGTGCTTTCGTGTATACCTACACTTGCACCTCTCTCAGGCAAATTATTTAACATACTATTTTCAAGCTCAAGCCAATACATCTCGTTAGAGCTGTGAGAGCTCAACAGCTCAGGCAGATTCTCACTTCTGTTCTTAGCATGTGCTTCACTGCGTGGAGTGGGTTTATAAGCTGTGCATGATAATATCCAATTTGTAGATAGAATACTGGAGTGGAATCTGAGTCTGGTGCAGGATTGCTTAGAAGAGTGCTCCAAAATCCAAAATATAGGTGTGCATCTGAATTCTTTGCTCATTTAGAGCATCTGGATTAAGACTACAGCAGTGATGCTTCCGTTCATAGGCTTCTGAAGGTTGTTTCTTCATGTTGCGTGAAAGAAATGAACAGAGCCGAAAGCCTTTTTTTACATTTGAACAGACTGTTATGCAAAATAGTTTTAAGAAAGTGATTAAAAGCCAGAGTTAGAAGATAATATCCACTTGCTCTGCTGAAGCTGAACCATTCTACAAAAATGCAAGTTCTTCAGGAGAGGAGAGCAAGGATGTATGATCAATGGTCTAACAACTGGGGGATATGCTTGGGAGAGGGCAAAATCCATGGGCCTGTGCCCAAGAGACTTGTTTTGAAAGAGCAGAAATAACCCTTTGAAATCTTGCCTTTGTTTTCCCAGTTTCTAAATGCCACCTCTCTTACCTGCAGCAGCCCACAACCAGTGAATAACCTTCTGATCTGTTTTACTCGTTCAGCTGCAGTGCTCAAAGCAGGGTGCCGGGAGCACGTCTGGCTGCAAATCACCTACACAAGAGTCTCTGTTCACTGATATTTTCAAAATTGTATTTATTCATATCTTATCACTTTCTAGGAAGCGTGCTACCCAGAAGGGACACCTTCCTCCAGCATTGCCAGGGTCCAAAGAGAGGGGGGGGGCGTGTGGAGTACAGTGCTGAAACTCTACATTATACTTATCAAAAATTCCATCATGTCAAACATCTGCCTCACAATCAGTTTGCTGCTGCTCATTGGTGATGAAAAAGCACATCAGTTAGATGTGTCTAACCTGAGCGGTGGTAAAATGAATGTTCTTGTCATTAATCTTTAGAGTTAACAATCCTATAGGGATAATTGGCTATTTGCACACTTCTTCTACAGCTGTTGTTTGAGGTTGTTTGTAAGCCCTGGAGTACAGACACAGCATGATGTACGTACACTTCACATTTAGAATATTCTCTTAATAACCATAAGTACTGGAAACTTAATTTTTGTTAATGAAAGCTTAGACTGTAGAGCACAGTTCTGCAGCATGTGGTAGCATTTGAGACAAATTTCATGGCATCGGAGCTGCAGAATACGCTTTGAGATGTCAGATGTGCTTATATGTAGAATTCAAAGCTTCCTGCTCAGTGGGTAGTTTTTGCTCAGCTGGATACAAGATCTAAAGGAAATCTCAGTGCAAATTTGCCTTTTTCAACAAGTGAAAGGAAGCCTGCATCTAAGAACATTTCATTTGTTTTCATTCCCAAGGAAACGAGCTGCCTGCAAATCAGTGAATGGGTCCCATAAGTACAAAGGAACCTCCAAAGATGTCAAACCTCCTGACCTTTGGATCCATCATGAAAGGCTGGAGCTAAAACCCATTGATAAATCTCCAGATCCCAATCCAATCATGACAGATACCCCAATCCCTCGCAACTCCCAAGACATCACCCCAGTTGATAATTCCATGGACAGCAATATCCATCAAAGACGGAATTCCTACAGAGGTGAGGTTTCAATGGGTACTTTGACCCTGATGTTTAAAATGAAATACACTTTACTGTATCTGGTGAAATCACTTTGTTGTCATTCAGTTATCCTTATCTTTTTTTGTTGCTCTTTTCCAAGTAGTGAATTGGTTTTGTGCCTAGTTTATAAGACTCTCTGAAAAGGGTGGATCACATGTTGTAGTGAGAAAATGTGTGCCCAAGAGTTAAATCATGACTTTCCCTTGGCAAATACTGGTTAGTAATCAGAAGATTATCTAGCAAGTGTTTCATACTAAACTGCTGAGAGACATGTGCTCTTTCAGCAGTCAAACACACAATCAGGTTTTGGTGCTTTAACCAGCTCAGCTCTTGAGGGTGAGTTTTCACTTGGTGAGTGGTTAAATTGTTAATCCAGCATCTCTACACCACACACGTGACTCACTGTGCTGCCACTCATTGCCCAGAGCTGCACTGCCAGAAGTTTGTGTTTGCATTATGGCCTGGAGAGTTTGTCCAGTGCCCAATAATCTTTACCCTAACTGTCCTCTTTTCTCCCTTCTAGCAAAGGATGAAAGAGCTTTTTTATCAATTATGAGTCACAGAACTGCTTACAAACAGGACAGCCCAGAAATAGAGAAGGATTGAAATCATCTGGTACGGTATCACAGAAACCTTGCTGCAATGGCAAATAACCTTCAGTATTTTTCCTTCAGGGCATGAGTCAGAGGATAGCATGTCCACACTGGCAGGAAGAAGGGGAATGAGGCCCAAGATGATGATGCCTTTTGATTCTCAACCACCTCAGCGTAAGTCGACAGCCCACCTACCAGCTGGTGTGAAATTAGGAGCACCCAAACAACCCGTGTTGATACTGTATGCACACACCCTCACATACTGCTCTCCTACTTACTCCTCCTAAGTAATTCTGTCATATCTGTCACGGGAGCAGTTCAAAGGCAGCATCCTGAATCCCTTATCCTGAAGGCAGAGTTAGATCAAGTTAAAAGGAGAGAAACTGAATAGCTGTATTTGAGTGAGCAAGAGGCATGCTGCAGAAGTGGGAAGAGTTAGGAATGTGTCCAACAGTCTGTCTGTCCCAGTCTCCAGCAGCAGCAACTGCAGGTGCATTTTAGGTAGAGCCTACGAGCCTGGCTGCTTTTTATAGTCCACTCCCATTGTGCTCTGCCAGTATCCAGCTGTTATGTAGAAATTGTGGAGAGCTGGTAAATCTCTGTCAAGTGGTTCTCCTCAGTTAGTTTTCTCCTCCCCAGACCAAACAGTCGTGGCTTTTTTAGCCTACCCTCATGAGGCAGGTGTTCCACCTCTTTATCACTTTGCCATTCTCAGAACCTTCTTTAATTTTACTACATACTTCTTGAGATTCACAGAGGCCAGAGCTGCACATAGTACCACCAGGGTCTTACAGAGCAAGAAACAGTCCTCTGCCTTGTTCTCAATACCCTCCTTGCTGCATGACATACTACAGTCTGTTGGCTTTTTTGGCTGCCATTGCATATTGAGCTAATGATACCAGAGATATGACAACCATGTCTCCAGAAACTCTTTGCTGAATTGTAACTACCAGTTCCAAGCTCAGCATCATAGAAGTACTGTTTGGATTATTCTTCTCTCAGTGTATTACTGTACATTGAAGCAATGATGAACTTCACCTGCCATCTCTTTACCCACTCGCTTAGTCTTGTGAGGCTCTTCTGGACTTTCTTGCCATCAGAATAGCATTTAACTACCCCAGAGACCGTAATATTATTGACAAACTTGAAGATTTCTGTGATGGCTTCCATGTCTGGGTCACTGAGAAAGATAATTGATGGAAACCAGTCCCAGCACTGATACCTGGGGAATCTCCTTCTTACTCTCATCTGTCTTGAAAATTGATCATCAGGCCTTGCCCTTGGCTTTATATCTGTAACCAGCTTTCTGTCCATAAAAGAGCTTTCCCTCAGCAGCAACTTAGTGTTTTACCTTTGGAACGGAGTCTTGTCAGAGCCTCTTTGAAAATTTAGCTCTGTTATATTGGCTGGTTCCCTTTATTGACATATTTACTGTCTTGAAACAGAGGTTCTTGACCAGCTGCAGCTTGAAGTCCACCCTCCTGCAGCAAACCAAACTCGTTATGGATTTATGCTAAAATGTGATAGTGGCTCAGAAGCAGCTTCAGGAATGACTCAGCTGCTTTCCAGTGGGAGAGAATTAGATAGCTGGGGCAACAGATCACCTCACATCTCAGGGCAGGACATCCCCACTTGTGAGATGTCCCCTAATTCACTGAGCAGAAGAAAAGGCTCTTGAAGGAGTAACACTGCTCATCTTTTGGAAAAGATATCAAAAACCTGCAAAATATGTACAGTAGCTTTACTTTACAATGTGTCTATTACAGAAATTCATTAGAACGTGGATAGACCACTGAATCGGGCTGAGGTTTTGCAAGTCTGGCAGAGCAGACTCTGAAACGAGGAGGATGTCTGGCTTGTTATCTCGTCGTCAGTTAATGATTTGATCAAAAGTGCTGAACTGAACTTCTGTTGCGGCAGTAGAAATATATTTTAATTATTATTATGAAATATTTTAAGAATTTAAACAATGTATCTAGTTTTCAAGTTATGACTCTGAGATGGAACAGGACTTGGCTAAACCTCTGAACTAGACTGAAACCCTGACTTGAGCACACAAGTAAAAAGCACAAAAGTTAACGTGCAGTGACAGAACTGGGAGGCAAAATTATATAGTGCTTATCTGGTCTGAGCTTTAGACTTCCCTGAGCACTGTGGCCAAGTAATTGCTACTACAATCTCATGTGTTTTATGGAATGATTTCAGGCCAGTCCATTACATTGCAACTTTCTAACTTTTTGCTTTATTTACCTGAAGTGAGTGCTTGGTTTTCTTGGCCTCTGCATTCTTTTTCAAGTGTCCTGATGACCTGATCAGCTGATGTTGTGAATTTTTGACTATTTCCTTGTTTTACAACCTTTTTACAAGAGTAGTATCTTTTTTCTTGGTTTTAAAGTAAGTAATCTGGCACTCCTTGTTTTATCCCAGGTTTTCATGTATGAGGAACGAGTGGAGGATGCAGTTTTACACTAATAATCTTTACTCTAATTAGTTTGTTTGCTGTCAAATGCGGGTGTCTGACAGTGGACATTGTGGCTGTTGGATTCTGTTGTCCTGTCCCATGCCAGGTGCTAGAACAGGATGAATTTCAGACTTGTGTGACCCCATAGCAAATTCAGACTGCAGTAAGTCTTACCTTGCACTCTCCTAGGTGTTTTTTCTTTTTTTCCTCTAAATGGGATGCAGCATTAGATGTATGTAGTGTAACGTAACCTCGTGTAGGAGCCCATGCTGAAGTGTGCTGAGTGCTCCACAGAAACAGAGTAGCAAAGTACCCTCATACCCTGGCGTTCAGTGAGAAAGATACATGGTCAGTCCCACACAGGATGAAAAACTCTACAGTTGACACCAGTGATACAGTGGTGATACACATTTGAGGGAGGTAGTATATTCCAGTTCTACCTTTTGATTGTATTCAAGCTGATGTGCTAATGCTGGCAGATGTAGTTGTGGATATGATTTTTCCTTGCAGCTCTAAACCCAGCTGTGACATCCCTTTTTGATACCAGTCCTGCTGTGTTTGCTTGAGAGGCCTGTCTGTTTCCCCTGCTTTATTAGATACTGCCTTGCCCAGAAAGAACCAACCAGAGACAGACACACCTGGCTCGGTGGGACAGGTTAGCATCCTGCACTAAATGTCAGGAAGGATATGTAAGGTCTTCTGGTGCCTTAGGGCTTGAGATCGGTCTTGTGACTTTGACTTTTTATCCTGTTTGCAAAAGCTCTAAGGGCTTCCAGCTGTAGGTTTCTATTTTATAGTAAGTGGACACATTAATGTAATGTCTTTAGATATGTTTTTGCAAAAGCTACACAGAAAACTGACACTGGTAGGTGAGGCCCTTTCTCTGAAAGCAGTACAGAGGGCAGGACCATTTAGTGTGCTGCAGTCTGTGCCTGCAGATACCTTCCTATCATTTCCCCCCAGCCCTGTAGCATTCAGATGTAGTCATTAACCTCTTAAATACTAAATTAGGATAACTTCATATATGCCATTTTAGTGGAATTTACAATAATGGTGTGTGCCCAGTTAGTTCTTTTTTGACAGCTGGAATACAAAAACTCTGAACAGCTATTAGGAAGCAAAGGACTATTGCTTTCCTAATGCACCACATTTCTCTTTGCCTGGTTCTTCATCTGAACTTTTCCTTGAAATTAAACAGTGCATCATGATCTTCATGAAGAGCTGGTGGCATGCCGTACTGCTTTTAGACTGTAAAGCTATATGTGGTTTAGGTCTGATAACCCAGCAAAACCCCAGCAGTTTAATCTGGATGGCTAGGTGGCAGGGTAAACATTCTGGGGACGTGGCTTTTCACTGGATCAGGTTTTCCCCCCTTTCTGACTGGATTCTGCTTTGCATAGTGTTTCAGAGCCACTATGATTTTGTGTTCTTCTTGTCTCTAAGCTTTTAGGAAATGTCTTGAGAGGTGTAGTATATGTGAACGAATTTTTATTGTGGTTGCAAAAGCATATAGGCAGTCTTTTACACTAATGTGCATTATGCTTGATAGTGATTGAGATGCTTGCTGAAACACAGGTGTAGACCAGTGGTTTAAATAGAAGTAGTTTAAATGTTTATGCCTGTAAAATTTTATACCTTAAAATCTTTGCCTCCTACCTTGCTGACACATAAGAGAACTCCTGGTGTCTCCAATAACTGTTGCCTCTGCCCAGATTTCTGATTGCCAAGCCTTTGTTGTTATTCCTCCATTTGCCAGTTCCCTGCAAGACAAAGGGGCATTTTAATCTTGCTTGAAGCTCTTAGTGAGAATATCTGACTTTGCACATCCCCTTGACAGCTATCTCACAGGACTTAAATCTAGAACCTTCTGATTGCTCAGTATTAGACTTTAGTTACTCTTCATTTACAAGAGGCTGATAGTGACACTAGCTTTCTGTTGACATAACTCAATGGGAGACCAAAATTGTTTATTAGCAATAGCTAAAAGGCTCTTGGTATATTGCCTCCACTGATCAATTCACATATCCTGTCCTGCTGACAGGCTGTTTTCCTGGAAATTAGGAAGTCAGAGGGTTCAGATTCCTTCAGTCAGCCTCTGAGGTCAAACCACATGCATCAATGCAAGAAGTCTTAGTTGAACTCACCATTATAATGATGGATTTCTGCATCATGTCATTCCTAGAAAGTAACTTTCACATGCAGCACATCTGGAGAATTGCCAGAAAAGGTTCAAAAGAAAATAACTAACAACAAACTTTTTTCTTCTTTATGATGTTAGTGGTAGCATTTCTCTCCTGTTTTTTGTGTTGAGACTCTTTCTTTTGGATGATTTTAAGCAATCCAGTATTTTATTCTGCCATAAGAACTAAATTCTGCACACACCTTTCCTGTCAGCTGGCGAGTTGTGAGTTTGTTCTGCTGTCACCACAAAAGGGTGAGGGCAAAGGATGATTTATGTTAAGTATAACATTTGTGTATCTCAAACAGGAAAAAGAATAAAGCAAGATAAAAAAAGAGGGGAAAAACAGGCTTTTGGTTTGAGTGTGCCAGAGCAGAGCTTTACTAAGTCTGCACAGAAGGAATGAATGGAGCCTTTGGTCTCTTGTCCTACTGTTATCATTGGTCTTGCATTATTTAATTAACCAAAGATGCCATGTTTGGTGAAAATGTTGAGAAATCTAATGACAGCCAGAAATTATTTTGGAATTCGAGCTTATGTGTCTCCTGTATCAGGTCTGACATTTATAGCACAGCCTGAAGTACATGGAAGTTCTAAAGGGAGCTGAACTTTGTTTTTCTCAAGGGTAATGGAAAATTCTTGACAGATGCAGCCAAGAGGGATGTGCTTTCTGCACAGGAAAATGGAGAGCTCTGCTTCTTCTGGGGGTCTTAGGTTCTTGGCATGGAGGAAGCTAAAGTGCTAAAGCAGAGTTGGAAATTTGGTATTGAAACACATCATCTTGGTGGTGTTGTAAACCCGCTCCCCCGTTCAGTGGCTTTGTGGGAGAAGGGAGGGATATGGTACATTTCAGTACGTGTGCATGCTTTTGTGTATGTTAAGCATTTTTCTGTCTTGTGTTCATTCACAGCTGTGATTAGTGCTCATCCCATCCATTCACTCGATAACCCTCACCATCATTTCCACTCCGGCAGCCTCGCTTCTCCAACTCGCAGCTATCTCCATCACCAGGTCAGCCCGTGGCCGATTGGCACATCCATGTCCCATTCAGACAGGGCCAATTCCACAGGTGAGCTATAAACAATCAGGTAGATTGTGCTTGTAAAGGAGCAATGAGTGAAACGTGGAAATCAGAGCCTGAAACTTAACTTGGTCAGTCTCCATTGGGGTGTTCCACGAGAGGCAGAGCGGTGGGTTTAAGTACAGACAAAATCCTTGATAGGTTGAGTTTTTTGTAAACAGTTTGCTATGTAGATCAGGTATCGAGCCTCAAGATATGTGATGATGTCCTGGGAAAAGGAGGCTTAATGTTTTATATACAACTTCAGATAGGAAGATTCCTTATTCTAAAGGCACCAGCCCTGGACTCTGAAACATTTATATTAAATCTAATCTGATCTACTTAATATGATAACTTTTTTCCTAATTAGTTGTATTCAAAACAGCAAGGACAAAATTCTAGACTTTGCTACTGAGAGATGTCATTAGTTAATCTTTCTGAAGCACATGGAAAACTGGTGACTGCAGCATTTTCAGGCTTGAAGCACAATCGTTTGCAATAGTTTTTGTAATGTCTCCAGTGTCCTGAAAAATTCTGAAACAACAGTATTGCTAAATTGCATGTAGGTGACATCTTGTAGTGAATTCTGAGCTTCTCTAGTTTAAGGTCTGTCTTAATTAAGGTGCCACAGCCAACAGCGCTGTTTCCCTATGAAAACAATTTGTGAGGCTGCAAGTGTACAGGCAGTTGGTGTGTTAGAGGCAGAGGTTTCTCTTGTTTTGTTTATCCTGCTGACAGTTCTCACAATCCATATCTTTTCCTGCATGTGTTCTCTGAGTTGGATCACAATGCCCTAAATTCAAGGTACCATCTCATTGTTCTCCTGGATCAGGGTGGAGCCTGCTGCAAACACATGAAGCCTCTGATTTCATTTTAGCTTGCAGTAAGCAAAGGGTTTTCAAGTCCATCTCAGACAAAAAAAAATTGGCTTCTCTGCGTACACTGCAGTGATGTATGATTAATCTATACCTATTTAAGAATGCCAATACTGTGAAACACTCAAGGGTAAAACGAGAATGAAGATTTGTGTTCCATGGTGTTTATCTGAGGTCTTGTGACACGTAGCTGCTTCAGTGCAGACTCTTGATTTGGCATTATGCCTGCGGAATCATTCAGTTCTCAAGCGTACTTTGTTATCAAACAGCCATTGCCATCACCTTAAAACAGGACAGTCTGTGAATTCACTTCTTGGCTTATAACAGTGATCTTGGACAAGGTGCTTGCAATCGCTACTGGTTTGTTTCCATCTGACCAGAGAACATTTCTAGTAAAGAAGATAAACTTTGGGGTTTTTTTTGGTCTGTTGTAGAATCTGTTCGAAACACACCTAGCACGGACACCATGCCAGCCTCCTCGTCTCAGACGTGTGCTGACCACCAGGATCCTGAAAGCACCCCAGGGGCTTACCTGGCTAATGCCCCAGAGGAGGACTCTGCTCAGAACCTCCCGACGGCGCACGTCCGTCCTTCCCACCCGCTGAAGAGCTTCGCGGTGCCGGCGGTTCCACCCCCCGGCTCCACCTACGACCCAGCACTGCCCAGCACGCCGCTGCTGACTCAGCAAGGTGAGCGGGGAAGGGTGACAAGGCACACCTGGGAAAAAAGGGGGAAAGGCGATTTTAAGAAGAAAATGAGAGAAGCTCCTTAAGGGGTGGGGGGTAGAGTTGGGCATCAAAGCAAATATGTCAGAGGCTGGAGCCAGTTTTGTTGGTATAATTTTCAAGGTTCTTTTACTTACATAGATAAGCTAGACAAAAATTCAAATTCAGCACGCCATAATTTGAAGTGTTCATTTTCCTCTACTAGAATCCTTTTTCTTCTCCTACTTTCAATAGCTTTCCGAATGGGCAAAAGAACTAATTAACTGAGGCATAACTATATAACAATTTATTTTAAGCTCCTAACCATCCAGTTCACTCGGTGAAGACTGCGTCAATTGGGACTTTAGGAAGAACCCGGCCTCCTATGCCAGTGGTAGTTCCCAGTGCCCCTGACGTGCAGGAGACCACCAGGATGCTGGAGGACTCAGAAAGCGTAGGTACTCTTACACTGCCAGTGCCTTGCTTTGGCAGTGCTTATCAAACTGTGGTGAATCTCTTTATAGGATACCTGTAGACTTCTTTAGTAACGTCTGCACCGAGACTTTCAAAGGCAGAGGGTAATGAGGCTTCTGATTTCCACCAAGTGCCATTCCATGTTAACCCACATAAAAAATGTAGTGCAAATACCTTCTACGCAAGGCAGTAAGTTCAGAGAATATGCACTTAAACTGCAAGTACAAGTAATGCTTTCTAAATCTGAAAATTACTTGAGCATACCTTCATTCCTAATTACACAAGACTATAAACAGATGCAGTGCTTCCACCTATTCCAGTCCCACCACAGTGCCCACTCAGACAAAAACTGAAAACCCTTCAACAGCATTTTGGCTGAACCAAGGCTGTTAGCTGACAGAGAGTAACATCTCCGAGATTTCCGTTCTCCACTCATGCTCAGTGCTTCTGGTTTCTGCTGGCCTACAACAGTGACAAGAGGAGAGGTAAAGACAGATACCATCTATAGTGCTAGTCATGCCTTTACAGTACGTAGTGCCTAATGGGGCTTTGGTTTATGACTTGGGCTTCTATACACAGGCTTACGTACGGGAGCTGTAGAAGGGCCCTGCACATCTGTGTTTTGCCTGCTTATCTCCATGTAAAGAGCATCTCTGTGCGCAGAGCTAAGGCCTCCAACAGGGCCGTTTGCTCTTCTCTACAGCTTAAGATGTGTTCATGCTCGCTTTGAGATGTCATTTATTTCTGTTTTGCAAGCATACTGTGCCTGGTTCCTATTAAAGTCATGCAGCTGCAGCTTCCTGTGCTGCTGCAGAACATCCAAAGTGTCATTGCAAATGGAAAATGTAGCATTAATGCCAAAATGTTTAAAGCCATCATCCCTAATATGTTTTTAGATACTCATAGGAAAGTCAGAACACTTCAGGGAAAAACACAACCAACTGTTGGGCTTCTTTGGAAACAGCTTTTAAGAAGTGAGGATGTCTTGGGCATCAGGCACTGGAAGAGCTGTTTTCCTTTCAAACTGCAAGCCAAGAAGTTATTGTATTAGCCATTGTATTACTGCTACAGTATGAATGAATTTTTCTTTTTTTAGCTTGTTTCCTTATTGTCGTTTCCTTTTGTCACCCTCTTGATTTTATTTCTGTATGCACTGGTCCAGAAACTGTATGTTTGCTTGATTTGGTGCACTTTTGCCCTTCTGCCAAGTTGTCCCTCCCACTTTTTGTTGTTGGTACCACAAATATACTCATTAGTTTGTTCATCAACAAATTTATCATATTCAAATATACTAATTTCTTCGTTAATAAATTAGTACAGCATAAAGTCACTACAGCACACTAAGTACTAGTTAAATTATGAGGATTAGGTAGTGATTTGAATAGATTCAGCTTTTTAATGAGAGCCTGGAGGAATGAGTCTCAGTACTTCCAGCTTGCTGCTCTTTAACATTGTCAGCAGTCAGCAGATGATGCATTGGACAGATGACTTTTCTGGTACAATCTAGATTGCTGGGTAAACTGGAAAGTGCCTGCTGCATTCATTTCTATTTAAATGAAAGAAAAGGTTTGTGTCTAGAAGCAAAGAAGTGAGATCCCAGTCAGGGTTGAGGGTTCCACTCTGGGAAGGGCTTTAGTTTTATGGTACACAGTCAGCTGAGCAGCAGCTTTAATATTAGACGCTAGCCAGACGGTCTAATAATGGACCTTAAATATATAGAGCAGAAACTATCCAACAGGAGTTCTGTTGCTTCTAATCTGGCAGTAGCAGAGCTGGTATTGCAGTACCACGTGCAGCCTGGCTTGCCTTCTGTGAAAATGATGGTGAGAGTGCAGAGAGGGTTTGGAGAATGCTCCAAGGACACAAGGGGTTGAAAATGGCTCAGTACTAGGAAAGGCTTGGACAGCTTCATCTCAAAACCTTTTCTAACTAGTTCATGGTATCTATCTATGTACATACCTGCACTGCTAACAGAGTGAGGACAGCTGTTCAGTATAGCTGAAGCGAGACAATTGAGGCTAAAAATGGACTGTGTTTTTAGCAAGCATAATTATTCTCAAAACAGTTTTATTGAAGTGATTCCTTTGACCTTTTTTTCCAATTAAGCAGGGAAGATTTTTCTAAAATATCTACTTTGGTTCAAAGGAAGCTGTTATCTTGAAGCAGGAATTGATACAAGGAAAACGGATAAGATGATCACAGCCTTAAAAATGTGAAACTATGAATCACTATTGCAAAAAGATCTGCACTTAAAATAGAAAGTTGTTTCAAGTTATTAATTCCGGTAACTGTCAGTAAATCTGCTTCTGCTTATTCATGTGTCAGGGTCACAGTCTACACCAGAATCACTGACCATTTCTTCCTGGTTCTTCTTCTGTTCTCCTCTAAAAAGAGCGAGTCACCTTGTCAGTAACTCTTTACATCTCCCACAGAATTACGAACCGGATGAGCTGACCAAAGAGATGGCCCACCTGGAAGGACTTATGAAGGACCTTAATGCCATCACTACAGCATGACCACCTTCACCAGGACATGACTCCAAACAATTTCACAAGTCTTGGGACTCAGCCTTAAAAAAAAAAAAAAAAAAAAAAAAAGAAAAAAAAAAGAAAAGAGGGACAGCACATGAGAACATACACAGAAAGCAAACGAACCAACCAGTGCATTTGTGCTACAGCTGGTGAAAAAGAGATGACCTTTCCTGTCATCGTCCTGCAATGAAGTCATTGCCAAGTTGAATTCCTTTTACCTGCTGAGACCGTGCAGGATGGGACGCATCAGGCTGAAATCTAGCATCCAGACAAAAGGAAAAAAAAGTGGACTTCACATACTTTTTTTTTTCTGGTCAGGTTTTGTCTCAGTGGTGTGATTGCCCTGCCTTTTCAGTGTTGGACATTCGCATTTATGTACAATTTTATTTGTGTTTTTATTTTATCTTTTTTTATAAAAAGGAAAAAATACTGTAATAAAAAAAAAAAGAGAAACTGTTGTTTTCCACAGCCTAGACTGACATTTGACTGCTTGTTCTATTGTGTATGAAAATTCATTGCCAGCGTGGGTTGTTCTGTTTTGTTTTTTATTCTGCGTATAATTATGTCCCCTTCTGGCAGTTAATCCATGGCCTTTTGGGATGCTGCACTGCTATTTGTAAGCTTTTTTATTATTTTTATATTATAATTATTAAAAGCCTGACTTTCTCCTCTCATCACTGTGAGATTACCAGTCTGTTTGAATTGAAATGTAATTTGAAAGGCTTGTTTGTCGCTTTTTGTGCAGTTTCAATATTTTGAGTGGGGAAAAGTAGATGGGGAAGGGGAGGGGATCCAGTGGGAGGTTTCATTATTGTTGTTTTCCTGTCTTTCTACATTGACTCGAAAGACTGAAGAAAATGAAAGCATCTTCTGTAACGTCCTTCCTTGTAACTTCAGCATACTGTGTCTCTGGTTACCGAATTAAGTGAGAGTCTCATTTAGAAACATTAAAAAAAAAAAAAATTCCTCCTGTAAAGTAGGGTTCCTTATGTTTAGGTGACACTAGAGCTTATTTTGGCAACAGTGCTCTGTTTTGTTGTTGTTAGTTTAAAGTGCAGGTTGAGCACTGGTTCAGCATGGAGAGCTCAGCACAGGCAGCAGTGCACGGCGCTTCTCTGCTGGTGGGGCTTAGGTCTGACCTACCTGGACCTCGCAGAGGCAGAGAACTGTGAACCTCTTCTCATCAGCAACATACCCCGTCACACTTTTGAGAACACTACATGTCCACAGGATCCTTCAGCAGCAAGTCCAACCCCAGTGCAATTTCTCTATCCCAGGCCATTAAAACAAGAATCCTTCTCTTGAGGATTCTTCAGAGACATAAGCAAGGCAAAAATGTATTTTTTTACACTTTTGAAACCATTTGAAAAGAAAAACAGTATTAGCAACTCAGGTGCTGTTCACATATCTGTCTGGAAAGGAAGGAAAGTTCAAAGGGAATTCCTATATGAAAGGAAGGAAAAAGGTTTTTTCTTCTCTCCTTGTATGATTGCCTGCCTCCGCCCTGTTCTGTAAGGAGGAATGGCATAAAAAGAAGGTATTTTAGTTAAGCTAATATCCAGCTGCCCAACAAACTTGTGCCATTTCACTTTCAAGATGAAAGGAAACTCAAAACTTACTGGTGATTCAGAGAGTGTGTTCCTCCCTCGCAGTCTGATCTGTGGTCTGGGTGGTGACAGTGGGGGACACGCTGGTAACAGGCGTTTCAGGGGCAGGGCACTGCTGCTCTAGCCCACAGTGCCTCTGCTGCACAGCTGGACCTCTTGGAACATTAAGAGGAAACTGTAACCTACTTAAATTAAAAAAAAAAAAACCCAGACAACACTATCTTTGCTTCATTTATCTTTTTTTTATCCATTTGGCTAAAGCTGTGGGCCCGTATTCACAGTCCCTGTCACCAAGAGAAGGGCGAGCCAATGAATCATCCTGGGGAGCAGCGGCAGGTTGGGGTGTAGTTTTACTTCCTTTTCCTGGACTCCTTGTGTTGTCATTTCTAGGACATTTGCTGGGTTTATTTATTATTCGAGGGGGAGAGGGCATCAAATTAATTGGAGCACCATGGGCCACTCAGAAAACTGATGTTTGGATTCTTAATACAATTCAGAGCAAAATAAGCTACAGAATAAGTATTTAAATAATAAAATACACACCCCTTGTCATGAAAGAGAGGGTGTACATTTTCCTTTGCCTATTTTTTACCTATACCCAAAGAAATACCATCGTACATACACAGTATTCTTAGCTGGTGGGTCTTTGTGAATATTACTTATGTATAACACCATGAATGTTAATATTGTCATTGAATTTGGGGAGGGGGAATATTTTTAATGATAAAACAACTGTTCAAAGTTGGTTTTTTAAGGTTAAACTAAAAGAAACATTTATTCAATTCAGTGTACAATCTGTATTGCACTTTTTTCACATTTTAATGCTACGTTTTCTTACATATCCTGTGATTTTAAATTTGGAACATTGTGTATCCTTGTAGTGTCATAGTCAAGCTGTTAAGTGACAGCTTCCCTCAGCGACATTTGGGGAAAAAACCAAACCTGTATATTGTTTTATGATTCTCATGTAGAATAATTTTGAGGACTGCTGTAGACGTCTACCCTTCTGTACAATTTTTTTGCTTTTCTGTAGTATTTGCTGTATACTCTATGGCTTTTTTTAATAACTTCATGTTTATTATTTTGTATTGGACATCCAATACACTTTTTTTAATCCAATCAAATTCTGGTCTGCTTGGAGAGTTTGTTCTCTTTTTTAATTATTCCTGTATCTTTTTTTTCTTAATTAGTATGGTGACCAGGTTTGGAGTTTTACTCGCCTCTCCTTTTGTTGTGGTTTGGTAGGTTGTGTCCTCTAAAGAAAGAAGAGGAACTGTTACTCTCCCCTGCCCCATCATTGTGCAGATACTGAGCTCATAATGTCTTCCTGGTTAACTCCCCTCCATCTCAAAGCTTAGTAGCAGAAGTAACAAACAAGCATCAGAACAAAGGGTTTCAAATCAGTGAAAGAACATGTAATGGTAAACCCGTAAATCACAGAAAAATAATACTATAATTCTTTGAATATAGCACTTTCTGTGTATAGATTTTAGAGTGCAATAACTGAACTCCTTAATGTTAAGCTCATGCTAAGTCCAGACTCCTCCTTTCACTACTCGAGACTCCCACTGATCAGCCTGGTCTCTGCAAGCCGTCCCCTCCCCAGTTGTGTCCCATGTCCTTGGGACCATCAGCCCATTCCTCATCCTCACCTCCGCAAACAGGACTACAGGCTACTGCCTTGTTTTACACCCCCTGACGCCCTATTTTCTAGTCAGATCCTTACATTTACTCCACACTGAGGCCTCAGGTGGGAACTGGGCCCTGAAATTCTCCTGTAGCTGGTCAGGGGCTTCTCATGTGTACGTGTACGGGAGAGGAGGAATGGGGACCAAAGGCGTTAATCAAGGTGAGAGTGTCACGAGGCTCATCCATGACAGACAGGCAGAGTAGATACAGAAGGGAAAAACCCAATCCAAAACCCGACACCCACCACACAAAACGCCCCGCCCTCTACTTACTAACCTCTAGCTTTAAGAGTATTTCTTGCTGTTAGTCAGTGCTGTGCTACCAGCGGGCAGCGTGGCAGCCCCCGGAGGCGTGCAGCCCCTCGGGCTGGTACAAGTAACAGAAAACGCCTGCGGGGAGCTGCCGCCTCCTGCGCGCCGGGGACACTAGAGGGCAGCGGTGACCCGCCGGTGAACAAAGCTGCAACGCCAACCCAGCGCCCACACCAGTTCGGCATCCACCTGGTAGAGAATAAATTGCGTCTCTCCAGCCTAGGTCAAGGGGACTAACATGAGTGGTGCTGTCTTCTTAGTAGCAGTTCAGTGACGAACTCAAGCTGCAAACCATTTTGTTCACTCCTAGCTGTGGTTTTCCCTGGTAGCCCTTTGGCTTCCAACACAGAAGCAAGGGGTTGCCTCGAACACCTTGGATAAATTGGTACAACACTCCCAGGCTTCTTCCTGTTAAGAACAGCCGCCTGTCTTCAGATGAATTGAGACTGGATTTCAGCAAATCACAGTTCGTCTCAAATAAAAGCATTCCCGTAGGGGCTCAACATGATTTAACTAAACTGCCTTTGCCAGAAATGTTAAACCACAACAACTTTTCTGTGGGGCCAGGTCTCCCCTAACCCAGCCTGGCTTCAGCCAGGTTCCACATCACCCTTTACTACACAGGGGCGTGAACACAGAGAGCCCCTGTGACTCTTAAAAGCCAAATGCTGGAGCTGTGGTGTGACTCCGAGAGCCTCACACAGCAGAACTCCTGCCTCCAAAAAAGCTTGCCAGCTCTCCAGTCTGACGGACAGCCTGGAAGTCAAGGGTACAGTCATCCAAGCAAGCAGGAGTGCAGAGCTGACGGGCAGTGGGGTTGGAAAATGAAAGCCAGCCCTTGGCAAGCACAATGTAGAAAAGCGGCCATGAGAACATGAGCGTGAGTGAAAGGGTGGCAAACTCCCACAGATCCAGAATGTACACCTGCCTTTTCAAAAGGCAGGAAAAGCCTGAATGTGACAGAGTGCCAGAGAAACAAACTGAAATTCAGTGAGGGGGAGCAAAGGAGCATTCAGCCTCCTCCGAGTGCTGCTGGGCCACCTTGCTGTGGGGAAAGTGTTCTCCACCAGCTGGGGGAGGCTCTGACCAGGGCTCCCTACATGCACAGGCAGGGTTGGTAGCAGTTGCACAAGGACAATGACCTATTCCCTGTCCTTTAGTAATTGAAAATCAACTTCTTCCAGTTACTTTCCAATTTCAGCTCCTGTTTCCCAACCTTCTTCCATCACACACTGTCTTTCCTCTCTGTAGGGACAGGGGCCAAGACAGCTGGTTCCTATAGGGCTGCAATTTAGAGCAAAGGCTAGTTTTCCTTGGTAATTTTTTCGGAGGCAATTCAGTTCCCTAACCCAGCTGTCTCGGGACATCCCACTCTCAGTCAGATGCCAAGCGGCTGCTGGCTAAGGCGATCCTGCAGGTTGTTCTGCCCACAGGGTTTGGTCATGGTGGCAGTTTGACCACAGCCCTTTTGTTCGACACACAAACTCACCAGTAACACCACTGCCAGCCTTGGAAACATGACGTAGTGCTGCTCTAGTATCTGCAAATCCACCTGAACCAGACACAGGGTAGCCCTGGTTACAACACCCTGCCACAACCCCATCACTGCAAAGGCTGGGAGAATTAAATGAGACGTGCTAGAGATGTACCAATAAAGTCATCACACATTAACTTAATCCAAATCAGTAGTACTCACCCTTAGCGGGCGCTGGGCAACAAAGCACTGGACTGCCGCAGGCTCCTCTACCTGGAGGCTTTGCTGTGACCCTTTTTCCCTTCCTATGCTGGCTGCCAGTGCCTCCATCTCCTAGAATTTCATCATTCTGTAACAAGGGTGTGAGGTCTTCTGTCCTGGGCTGCAAACCTGAAGAGAAAAGAAAGAGCATCCCCCCATTTGTAACCTCAGTGTCCCTGGCTGGCAGGGCCTCTGCAGACAGAGCTGGGATGTTTTGGAAAGCCCTGACCTGACCTCAGCCCCCCCTTAGGACCCCGTCACAGGGAGCAGAAGACCACTGCCATCCCAATGGCATGGCTAACGCAGACACCCACGTCCCATTTTGCAGCAGGACAGAGGGACTGGGTGGGGACCCCCAGCTCTGGGGCCACAGCACCATCCGGGGGGGTTGCAGAGCACAGAGGTTTGTCCCTGGGCTCCCTAGAGCCCCGCTGTGATCAGACAGATGTCCTGTGAGCCCAGGGAGGGGTTTCCCTAGTGTAACAAGAAACCAGGGGTGGCTGCATGCCTGACAACCCAGTCCCAGCCAGCATCCTCCCAGATCCCAGCATCCTTGTACGCAAGGAAAACACCAGACCCCATTTCTCCTCTGTGGGCACCGTCACCATGGCAACAGCATCTACTTAATCTGGCCAAGCTCTGCGCTGAGGACGGGCAGGCTGGGGCAGCTTCCTGCCTGCACAGGGGTTTCCCTGGCAGCTGCTGCTGTTTTATGAGGCACAGCCCTGGTCCTGCACTGTTCCTATCGATCTCCTCACTGTCTGCAGTGAAGATTTGGAGCCTTGTGACAAAAAAACCCCAAGCCTGTCATTGGAGAAGGGCACTGAGGTATTAGCAGTGAGCAGCTGCCAGGGAAGCCTTCCCCAGGGGCTCTACACAACTTCTCAGTGCCATCCATAAAACCTCTGCTGGCTCCCCTCAACCTCAAGGGCTGTCCCCGTGTTATGCTGTGCCCCAGGAAAAGCCACCCTGCCAAGCCCAGAGAGCAGGATCCTCAGGATCTCACCCTCCCCTTTTCATCTCCCTGTCTCTGCCTGGCTGCTCTTGCTCCTCTGGAGCAAACCAAAGGTTATGGTATTTTTCCATCCTCTTCTGAAGAGGCATGTAGCCCTCACAGCATCCCCATGGCCCAGAGACCAGGCTAGAGGCACAGCTGCATGAGAAGGTGCTTCACAGGGGCTCCCTTGGCTGTGTTCCCTCCCAAACCTCTACAGCATTTGCTGTCCTCCCTTGCCCAGCTCTAGGCACCAGCACAAATAACCAGGGTGGTTCTTCCCAGCCCAATCTGCCTGGGCTCCCCGAGCAGGTACTACCTGGCTTGTAGCAACTCCCTAGGCCCTAGTGCTGCCCTTCCAGGGAGCTCCAGCAGCTAAATGCTGTGATGGCCTCAGCAACATGCAGGGTTACTGAGCTGAGGCCACCTCAGCCCCACACAGGATCAGCCACAGCTGGAAGGGG